GTACGTAAATTCAATTCATTCACATGCATTCATTTCTTAGTCGTATATTTAACGGTTATAATACGAGTCAGTATAATTCCATACTGATATTTTAGATCAACTTCTTATCATGATCACTTCAACTGTCAATTCTTCCGTGTTTGGTTAAGTGCTAAGTGCGGAGTATACATTGCATGAATAGTCGATTTATTCAGGCTGGAAATTTCTACTTTGACAGCTCTTTTAAGTTTATACTATCGACAAATGCGTCGTACAAGAGCCCTTGTTATTAAAATCCAGTTTCCGCCTGATTTTCATGTTTTTTGGGCGCTTCATTTAAATGACTATAGACATGATCATCATTTTCCTCCTTTCCAGGCCTTTTAAGCGCTGTGTACGTCGATTTTTCATTTCCCACTTGTTCATAATTGTCGACGTCATCTTTTCCAGGATTTTCATAAATATCTTTGGAATTTTCCTTGGTCTTCTCCACGTCTTTCGTAGCGCTTGATGATTTGAGACGATGAACACGGTAGATTAAATAAGCGATAACTACGACTGAAATGACAAGGAGAATTGCCAATACAATAATTCCAACAACTTCATTTCTTGCACCGTCTGAAAGATAGAAAATTAAGAAGATGCATCATGTATTGAAGAGTAATAATTCTAGGTAACCAGTGTAAGAAATCCAACCATGCAGTTGCTAAATAATAAAATACAGAACTCGCGATTAAAAAGCTCCTGGGTCATCTATAATGGGATCCTAAAATTTATTTGATTTTCGAATCAAGATTGATTAAATCGAGATCTGGAATTAACGATCCAGGATTCCGTTCCAGGCATTCCGTTCATTTTTGCTAGTGAAAGCCAGTGTGCATTTGTTAATTTCTCAATTTGGTAAAAATTCATGTTACCTGTAGCGATCTGTTTTTGGATAAAAAATGTATGATTCGTTCTCCGAAATCGATCATGAACATGACAAATATATTTTCCAAAACTTGTTTCGTCTTTCACTGTAACGACGAGTAAAGAACTACGATGAGGCGTGTCTTTTACCATGAATCCATCCAGTGGCCTCTGATCTTTTTCCCAACTGAAATTAATAGGTGGTTCCCCTTGAGCAGAACACAACAGGTTGACAAGATCACCTTCCTTTGCCATTACGTCACCACTGGACATGTTGGTTAACACACGAGGACTGCCTGGGGAAATGAAATTAACAGGCATTTGAACTTAACCTCAATTTTTTAAAACTAGATTTTTGTTTAATAAACCCTTTAAGAGTAAGTTACCTTGGAATGTACCAAGATATTGTTGTGTGAAAGAAATTTATACCTGTATATTCATTTGTCTTCGAAACTGGGCTCCAGTCTGTGGAGTAATAATCCTATTTTAAGAAAATGATCATTATATGTTATGACCCAGAAAGACGGATGATGACATGAAATACTTGTTTTTTTAGTTGGTGTAACGATGTTCCTCTTCTGATATTTGTCCTTTTTCACTCTTCAGAGTTCAGCCTCATTCTCATTTTTCTTTTCCTCTCAATTTTTGACATGTAAGTAAGCCTGGTAAACTGAAACTAGACGAAGGAATTATTGTATCTAGACTATAATAAAATTTACATAGAATTACCTGGTCATTGAGTATAATCCTTTGAAAAATACTGTATCTAGTGCCAGGTTCCAGCGGACCATTGTAGTAATCACTCGCAGTTGATCTGCGTCTTCGTGATGTTGAATCACTTGTATTCTTACCATCACCAAGTATAAACACGTCTTCATTCACACCGCCGGATGTAAAGACTGCAGCAATGTAAGGTTTGGGATCTGATGATTTTCTTGCCTCAGCGTACGTCACTAGTTCATTGTTGTCATAACTACCAGATGATTTAGGTTCTTTACCGTCTTTAAGTTTTAAAGCCACGACGTAAAAATGCCTGAAGAGAAACATTTACCTCTTCAATAGCACCTGGTGTCTGTCTTCGTACACTAATATTTAAATAAATAACTTACAAATACGTCATTGAAGGAATTTTCAATGAAAATGTGAGTGTACGTGACGTCACGTCAGCAGCCTGTTCTGTCCCTCCTATAGTAAAAAAACAAAATTGATGTAATACGGGCTTGCATGTGCATAAATAATACATTCCCGTGTTTAAAAAACGAAATTTTAGCAATTTTCTGCAGAGATGTTTTCCAAATCTGCGATTGAGATGTATCTTTAGATATTAGGTGAAGTTTCGAATCGGTGACAAAATGAAAAGCTTATTTTCGATACTGAATATATCTGAACCAATTCAACACCACAAGATGGTGTCGTTTCAACATTATTGTTCAACATACCTCCATTAGTAAAGAATCCTTTACTCTCACTGTAGTTACCACGACCAGCTTTAGTACTCGCTTGAACACGAATATAATATTTGGTTGATGGATTCAAATCCCGCGCAACCCAATTTCTTTCAGTGGTTGTAAATGAGTGAAAGCAAATTCCATCGTTTGTATTCGAAACACACACAGTATAACTGATAATGACGCCATTTTGTTTACTTTCCTCAGGAGGATCCCAAATGAAAGACAGAGATGATGTACTTCTTGATGTGGTTTTGATGTTTAATGGAGGACCACTTGGTGCTAAAAATCAAAATGGAGGTTCGTATAGTTGATATTTTGTATATTATTAGACAATTGAACCAAAACAAACAGCTCCGAGCGAGGTTCAGATTTGAATTCCACCAGCGCTATCTTTGAGCGAACACAAACCAATCAAATGCTATGAATCTATCAGATTAACTAATAACGAGCGCAATAGGTCAGCGAATGGGTAGTGTTGTAAGTCAAATTTGGACCGCACTATAAACAATTATTAGAGAACTGTAAAGAAGACAGTTTTCTCAAGAAAACTAATTCTGTTTCAATCAGTCAGGCTTCAATGTCGTGGGTATAGATTATGTCCTCACTAACGTCATTAATCACAACGTCGCCAATATAAGAAATATATTTCAATTCTAACCAGTTTCCAATGTTATAAATGAAGAACTCGTTTCTTCGCCAAAACCATCCTTGTTTCCAGCAGCTACAGATATTTCATAACTTGTGTCTGGAGTGAGCTTATCTATTTTATATTTATTCATTTTTCCTGTGGTCATATTCAGAATAAGCGAGTTGTTTTTCTTCATTTTAATCCAAAATCTTGATACGTTGGTAAATCCTTGATTCTCAGGATCAATCCACGATATTTCAACACTTTGTGACTTGATGTTAAAGACGATGAGGTTTCTTGGTTTGTCTGGATATAAAGCTGTTAAGAATAAAAATAAAATGAGATAAATATCCTTTCTAAATTATTATTGCCAACTCTTTTTATTAAAGCCTCGACGGGATATATTAAGTATTGTTATATAGGTGCTATGTATTTTATATTTGGTTGGTTCATTCGTAGTCATATAAGGCTTTAAATAAATGCAATGGTTCCCGCACGACAAAGTAAAAAATTATTGCCCGCATGTTGTCATAACAAAGTAAAGTGTTTTTTTAAAATTAAAAATTGTTGTGTAACATGTATGTTTTTGTTCCTATATAACACTTAATGTACACTACCTCGGGAAATAGTGAATTTTGTTTTCCCTCGAGTCTCAACATTCAGACTTGGAAAAACAAAACTCACTATTTCCATCGGTAGCATACATTAGGTGTATAATGTATAACTTACTGACACCACAGATCTCAATTTTCATACAAGGTTCAACTTCATTTGATAATGGAATAAACCGTAAAGCTCTTGTTGTTGTGTCATTTAAACTTCTTATGGCTGCGTCATTAGCATTCTTGTTGCCTTGAAGTATCTATTAAAAAGGGTAAAATTAAGGAAATATTTATTTTATTGATTAAATTATACCGTTCTTGAAATATCTAAAGCTAATGATAATAACGTAAACTGTCTTAAGAATGTTTTGCTTATTTGCTATGAGAGATTTTAAAACAAAAATATGTCCATCAACTACGATTTTTAGAGGCTTTTGTATCTCAAGGTAGCTAGTCTAGTGAAAACATCAAACTAGAACAAAACATTACCGTCCCGTTTTGTACTCGTCTCCAGTTTATCAGGTCAACAGTGTAATTAAGGTTAAATGATATCAACCGTTTAAAGCCAGTGGCTGTGCTATCGCCAAATGTCTTTATGACATATAACACGTAAAGTCTTCCCAGGTCGATTTGAAGATAATGTTTACCATCTGAGACAGAAGCACACCAAGAACTACCACTAGATATCCTTGCATCAAAAGCCCTGTGACCTTCTGAAGAAACTGAGGCAGTGAATGACGAATCTGGAAATTTTTCTTTGTCTTCTAACAGAGGATTGTTGCAAATATGACCTGAAATAAAGAATGTTAGTCCAAATTTTTTCACATAAGCTGTACCAGCATATCTAGAATATACTTACATTTGATGTAAGAGAGCTGTGAACAGCCATTTGGAGAAGTTATAAGTGAACATTGAGACAAGTGATGCTCTTTGCCACCACAGTCAATGCTTCCAGAAAATACCTCTTTCGTGCTAGACATAGCAGTCTTATTAACAACGGAGGATGCTCGTGTATAACCCAGTTGACGACAAATAACATCTTTGGCGTTGTTCTTCAAACTCTGCCAACAAACTGTTTTGGTTCCATTATAATTCTCATCTATTTGTATAAAACCCTCGTTTGGTAGAGATGAGTCAGACAGATGCACGTTATCCACTAAAAAAACAACAATAATAAATGTTTACGTATTTTAAAAAGAATTCTTCTCGGGTTTCTAGGTGAGCTTTTGGGGTTTTGAGGTTTTTGGGTTTGGAAAGTTTAAAGTTTGAGGGTGGCACCAGTTAGTATTATTTTGCGCTCTTGCACTTCACACGAGAAGCATGCATCAAATACTCAGCGCTCGAACGCAACTTCAATCCAATACAAACATACCACATAATGAGTATTGTTTTGATCTATCAATACATTGATATTCAAAGTAAAGATATCTGTTCAATCCAGGACACAGATCATCAGAGAACAAGGTTTCATTCACAGTTATTTTACACTCATGTTGACCATCACATTGTTTCTTAACAAGACATGTTACATCAACTGTACAACTATAATCATCACTCAAACCACATGTCTTTGAGTCAGACAATCCACGGTAAGATGCAGTCTTGACCACCATGAACTGATCTTTAGGACAGGCGACATTCTCTGTCGTATTTCCATAACATGTCACTGAACCTTGATAAGGATAGGACAAAATATAGACCTCGATCGAAACTTAAAAAGTTGAAGTGAGTTTGTATACCTGGTTTGCATTGAGAATATAGAATTACTTTCTGAGCACTTCTTCTCTTTACTGTTGAATACATTTCTCAGACAACCCCTATATCAGGCAGAAAGATCGTACCGGCAGAAAAGAAACTTACCAAAATTAAAACGTTTATTCTCCTCGTCTAAACAGCTTGGGTTCGTTTTTATGTATCCATCAGGGTCTGCACACCTGGCTGCAGAATTATAAAATCCACGTAAACCTCCCCAAGAAGTTTGTTTTATAACCCGTTTGTCAGCACAGGCAGATATTTCTTTAACTTTTAGGGTGGCAGGAACGAAGACGTAAAACATTTCATCTTGATACCTCTTACTATATATAGCAAGACATCCTTGTCTTTTCAAATTCAACATGGCGCCATTATCACGAAACCAAAACTGAGCAGCTGGGTCCAGACAGTTGTTGGAGAGTTCAAGAAAAGATACGCTACCCCAGTCCGAGCCGTCTGACTGTATTCGTGCTGTGTCATAGATACACTTTCCTGTCTTGATATGTTTCACAAAGAAACCAGCAACACCTGAAGAATTTAAGATTCACGAGATTGATTGATTTTCTTGCGATGTTACTACCAAATATTAGAGAGTTTAAAAATCAAGTTTTACGTCAACCGGTAAATAGGAGGCAAATGTAATAAAAAAATAGACTCGGCACAGACTCGGTATTTTAAAACTTCAGGCAAACTCTTGATAGACGGGGATTTTTCATAGTTAACTAGTAGGATTCATAGGGACATATTTTTATAACCTAACTCAGTTGTATCCAGCGGTAAAAAATTGTTAATTAATCACATAAAAAAGTGATTACAATGTGTTTATTCTTGCCATCGTTTGATGCAGTTTTAAAACGAGAATGGAAGTTGATGAACGTTAATGCAAGTTACAAGACCTGTTTACCTCCGCCGTCAATAATGTCAGTATTCGTCAGAGGACTTTCGCAATTTTGGTAGTGAGCGGTCGAACACAAGCGAGACTTACAACTCACATCAACTCGCATTAATCATGAGACAGTGCACAAATCATTGTGAATGAGACAGAATTTCGATTTTCAATGCCTGGTGTAATATTTTAATAGCTAGCCTACTTACTATGAAGATACAGGAGAATGACAATGAACCCTGATAATTTCCACTCATAGCACTTGGAAAACATCCTTTCTTTTTAAAAAGTCGATTCATCGACAAAGATATCTGCAGTAAAGATGTAAGTTTGAACGAAGCCGGAAGAAGAACTAAATCGTTGATGTTGCGAAGATAAATATTCATAAAACTCAGTGTGAAGTCTGAATGTTGCTTTCATGATCCCAAACAAACAAAACGTCTGACATTCTTTTAGCAAATTGTGTTTTGTTTTTGTTAAATTACTGTAAATAATGACATTAATCATAAATCTTTCATATTTCTCAAAAGCTATATGTATAAATGACATGGTCGTGCATGTTATATTAAGAGAAATGATCCTCTCTAGACCAAATTTGTTGTCGATGGGTTGATTTTTAAAATTAAGTAAAACGTTCAGGTCGAAATATTAGCTTAAAGCAACAGGTGGTCTTAACTAGATTATAGATTATACATGGACGCCCTCATTTCATTATTGAAATTTTAATCTTAAGTTTATTGTAAATGTTCCGTGCAAAAGCAACTTTATAATCCAGTTTCCTTTTGGTTTTCGTATTCTTGCGGTTTTTGATTCAGATGACTATAAACATGATCATCTTCGTCCTTTCCAGGTCTTTTAAGAGCTGTATACGTCGACTGTTCATTCTCCACTTGTTCATAATTGTCAACATCATTTTTGTTAGGATTTTCATAAATATCTTTGGAACTGTTTTTGGTCTTCCTCTCCAAATTTCCCGTAGTGCTTGACGATTTGAGACGATGAACTCGGTGAAACAATAAATAAGCGATAATAATGAGTAGAATGACCAGAATAATTATTAATACTATAATTCCCACAAGATGATTTCCGCAACCTTCGCACTCTCCTTGAGCTAATGAAAGGAAGAGCAAAAATTAGAAAGATGCAACCCAGAATACAACAGATTTACTCTCCGTTTAGGACTCATTTCAAAACCCTAAAATCCTCTGTTGTAGAACTGTAACCGATACAAAAAGCTCTGGAAACTACACAAGTTATTTTCTCTCCCTAATTTAGTTTGTAAATTACCTGTAAGTTTCACAACTGAAATTGTATGAGCAGTTTTTGTAAATCGATCTTGAATATTACAAATGTATTTTCCAAAACTTTTTTCGTCTTTTATTGTTACAACCAGAACAGAACTGCGATAAGGGGTATTCTTTTCTATAAAACTCTCCAGAGCCTTTCCATCTTTTTCCCAACTGAAAGTGATCGGTGGTTCCCCTTGAGCAGAACACAACAAGTTGACAAGATCACCTTCCTTTGCCATTACGTCACCACTGGACATGTTGGTTAACACACGAGGGGCATTATCTGACGAACAGAAACATGCAGTTATACATTCCAAGTTAACTGATGAGCAGGTTGGGGGCATGTAGAATTAAATCTATAATAAACGTAAACATACCATGTTTTTTTCGGCTCAAAAATAAGGTGTTACAATTTATATGCAATACCTGAGTTTATGCTAAGGGTTGTCGATGGAGGACTCCAATCATTGGAGTAAAATTCACCCTAAAATGAAATATTTAGGACAAACAGATATAGAGTAGACAAAAAATAGGTTTACGGATATTAGATATAAGGGTATGAGGATATATAAGATATTGAGATAGCCTATGTTAGTGAAAATGCAGAAGGATCATTTGGTGTAATTGAATATATTTGTTTATTTTAATGTAATATCATAACTAGCAATACCTTGTCATCAAGAAAGATCCTTTGAAAAATACTGTAACTTGCTCCAGACTCCAGTGGTCCATTATAATAATCATTCGTTGTTGATCTTCGTCTTCGTGTTGTTTGAAAACTTGTATTTCCACCATCACCAAGTATAAACATGTTTTTATCCCTGCTTGTTATGACGGCAGCAATATAAGGTTTTGGTTCAGCTGACGTTTTAGCTTCTTTGTATGTTACTAGATCATTGTTATCGTAACTGCTGGGTGATGGAAGTTTGTCACTGCTCTTTCTCAGTTTCAAAGCCACGACGTAAAAATATCTAAAACAGATTTTGTTTGTTAAGTAAAAGTTGTAGTTGGTCATCCAAATAATTTTTTCTATGCAATTATCTGAAATATTGCTTTAGGAACGCTGGTTTTGAACTTACGTAAAATTTTCTAAAGGAATTTGTAACGAGAAAGTTAATGTAGTTTCTGTTTTCTTTGTTGCGATCTTTGTTCCTTCTGTAAAATAAATAACATCAATGATATGAACTTGAATGTCAGTATTTAGGTTGAGATCGATTTTAGCTTTCTCTTAAGGTGATGAGATCTGACAACGAATCTGTGAAATATAGGCCCTACCTCCATTTGTAAATATTCCTTGACTTTTACTATAGTTTCCTCGACCAACTTTAGTACTTGCAAGAACACGAACATAATATTTGGTTGAGGCATTCAAATTGTCGATGACCAACATCATTTTCTCTGTAGTGTGTTCTTTAAAGCAAGGTTTAGTTTCTTCATGTGAGATACACACAGTATAATTGACGATCACGCCATTTCTTTTCTCTTCTTCAGGAGGATCCCACGTGACTGATAAAAAGGATGAACTTTCTGCAGTGACTTTGACGTTCAGTGGAGGACCTTCTGGAGCTAAATACATCAAAATGACAACCGTAAGACGTTTGTTCGAATTTTCTTTGTTTCGACGGGTTCATGCATGTAACAAATGAGGCAGGGTATCAGTCAGTTAAAATTTCTATCGCGAGAGTTGTAGCAATCTTAAACAATGCGCGAAGAATAAACCGATACCTTCCTCTCGTGTTAATAATGCAATCATAGTCTTTTCGCCAAAACCATCCTTGTTTCCAGCAGCTACAGATATTTCATAACTTGTGTATGGAGTGAGCTTATCTATTTTATATTTATTTATTTCTCCCGTGGTCATATTCAGAATAATTGAGCCGTCCTTCTTTATTTTAATCCAAAATCTTGATACGCTGGTAAATCCTTGATTCTCAGGATCAATCCACGATATTTCAGCACTTTGTGACTTGATGTTAGAGACGGTGAGGTTTCTAGGTTGGTCTGGATATAAGGCTGTTAAGAAAGGAAATCAAACTCATAATTAAATAATTATCGCTTTCTAATCACCAACTGCAAATGCTTTACCAAATCCTCGATAGAAATAAACGTAACTTACTGTGACCACAGATCTCAATTCTCATACAAGGTTGAACTTCATGTGACAATGGAATGAACCGTAAAGCTCTTGTTGTTGTGGCATTTAAACTTGTTATGGTTGCGCCATTAAAAGCATTCTTGTTGCCCTGAAATATCTTTGAACAAATGCATAGAAATGTCAGGAAAATTTACATTTGCGCGAGAATCGGACATTGCACTACTCATTTTGATGCAATAATACCGTATACGATATTTCCCTCTTTTGATGTAGGCCTAAAAATGTAAAAGAAACGTATCAATCACCTTGTGATTTCCAGTCTCAACTTTTTTCCAATTGTTAGAATCAACTGTGTAATTTAAGTAAAAAGTCTTCACCCATTTTGCACTGGTACTGTCACCAAATATTGCAACAGTCATTATCACATAAAGTCTTCCCAGGTCAATTTGAAGATAATGTGTACCATCTGAGACAGGAGCACACCAAGAACTACCACTAGATATCCTTGCATCAGAAGCTCTGTGACTTTCTGAAGAAACTGAGGCAGTGAATGACGAATCTGGAAATCTTTCTTTGTCTTCTAACAGAGGATTGTTGCAAATATGACCTGAAATACGAAGATCGCTTGTTAAGACCTTGCAAGATAGCAAGAACCTTCAGTTATAGACCCTATACATACCACAAACAACGCTAAAAGATTTCACATTATCAAAACATTGATATTCAAAGTAAAGATATTTTTTCAATCCAGAACACAGATCATCAGAGAACAAGGTTTTATTCACAGTTATTTTACACTCATGTTGACCATCACATTGTTTCTTAACAAGACATGTTACATCAACTGTACAACTATAATCATCACTCAAACCACATGTCTTTGAGTCAGACAATCCACGGTAAGATGCAGTCTTGACCACCATGAACTGATCTTTAGAACAAGTGACATTCTCTGTCGTTTTTCCATAACATGTCACTGAACCTTGATAAGGATAACACAAAATGTTAATCACGATCGAAACTTAAAAAGATGAAGTGAGTTTGTCTACTTGGTTTGAGAATATATAATTAGATTCTGAGCACTTCCTTTCTTTACTGTTGAAATACATTTCTTAGACAAACCCTGGCATGCAGAAAGATCGTACCGGCAGAAAAGAAAATTACCAAAATTAAAACGTTTATTCTCCCCGTTTAAACAGCTTGGGTTCGTTTTTATGTATCCATCAGGGTCTGCACACCTGGCTGCAGAATGAAAAAAGCCACGTAAACCTCCCCAAGAGGTTTGTTTTATAACCCGGTGGTCAGCACAGGCAGATGATTCTTTAATTACTGGGGTGGCAGGAACGTAGAGGTAAAACATTTCATCTTGAACCCTCCTGTTATATATAACAAGACATCCTTGTCTTTTCAAGTTGAACATGGCGCCATTATCACGAAACCGAAACTGAGCAGCTGGATCCAGACAGTTGTTGGAGAGTTCAAGAAAAGATAGGCTGCCCCAGAGCAGGCCTTGGTCCTGTATTCGTGCTGTGTCATTGATACACTTTCCTGTCTTGATATGTTTCACAAAGAAACCAGCAACACCTGAAGAATTTAAGATTCACGAGAATGATTGATTTTCTTGCGATGTTATTACCAAATATTAGAGAGTTTAAAAATCAAGTTTTACGTCAACCGGCAAACAGGAGGCAAATGTAATAAAAAAGAAAATGGACTCGGCACAGACTCGGTATTTTAAAACTTCAGGCAAACTCTTGATAGACGGGGATTTTTCATAGTTAACTAGTAGGATTTATAGGGGCTAATTTTTATAACCTAACTCAGTTGTATCCAGCGGTAAAAAAAGTTAATTCATCACATAAAAAAATAATTGCAATGTGTTTATTCATTGCCATCGTTTGATGCAGTGTTAAAACGAGAATGGGAGTTGATGAACGTTAATGCAAGTTACAAGACATGCGGTTTACCTCCGCCGTCAATAACGTCAGTAATCGTCAGTACTCTTCAACTTTGGACTTTCGCAATTTTGGTAGTGAGCGGTCTAACGCAAGCGAGACTTGCAACTCATACAACTCGCATTAATCATGACACAGTGAACAAATCATTGTGAATTAGACAGAATTTCGATTTTGAATGCATGGTGAAATATTTTAGTAGCTAGCCTACTTACTGTGAAGATACAAGAGAATGACAATAAACGCTGATAATTTCCACTCGTAGCACTTGGAAAACATCTTTTCTTTTTAAAAAGTCGATTCATCCAGAAAGATATCTGCAGTAAAGATGTAAGTTTAAACGAAGGCGGAAGACGAACTAAATCATTGATGTAGCGAAGATAAATATTCATAAAACTCAGTGTGAAGTCTGAATGTTGCTTTCATAATCCCAAACAAACAAAACGTTTGACATTCTTTTACAGTAAATTACTGTAAATAATAGCATCAATCATAAATTTATAATCTTTCTTAAAAGCTATCTATAAATCACATGGTCATGCATGTTATATTACGACAATTGATCCTCTCTAGACCTAATTTGTTGTCAATAAGTTGATTTTTAAAATTAAACAGGCAGCAGTTAGTTATGGTCTGTGGCCTTATTTATTTGTCTTCCTGCATGCTTGGTTTAGCACTGTCTATATTATTTATTTTCCATGGTATCTTTCCCATTTCATGCTCATATGTCGTATGTCTTAAGTTATTATAGGTCTATAACGACTTTCGTCAATTTATATTTATTATAACCTTGGTCTTGGAATCTCGTGTTGTGTTGTGTATTAAATGCTCACTGATCATATGTATTTAATATTCATAATTGCCTGTTGGTACTTTCCATCAACCAATGGTGATAAAACGTTCAGGTCGAAATATGAGCTTAAACCAACAGGTGGTCTTAACTAGATTATAGATAACACCTGGACGTCCTCATTTCATTATTGAAATATTAATCTAAAGTTTATTGTAAATGTTCCGTGCGAAAGCCTGTTTATAACCCAGTTTCCTTCTGGTTTTCGTATTCTTGCGGTCTTTGATTCAGATGACTATAAACATGATCATCTTCGTCCTTTCCAGGTATTTTAAGAGCTGTATACGTCGACTGTTCATTCTCCACTTGTTCATAATTGTCAACGTCATCTTTGTTAGGATTTTCATAAATATCTTTGGAACTGTCTTTGGTCTTCCTCTCCAAATTTCCCGTAGTGCTTGACGATTTGAGACGATGAACTCGGTGAAACAAATAAACGATAATAATGAGTAAAATGACCAGAAGAATTATTAATACTATAATTCCCACAAGAAGATTTCCGCGACCATCGTCCTCTCCTTGAGCTCCTGAAAGGAAAAGGAAAAATTAGAAAGACGCAACCCAGAATACAACAAAATTTACACTCCCTTTAGGACTCATTTCAAGACCCTGAAATTCACTGTTGTAGAACTGTAACCGATGCAAAAAGCTCTGGAAACTACACAAGTTATTTTCTCTCCCTAATTTAGCTTGTAAATTACCTGTAAGCTTCACAACTGAAATTGTATGAGCAGTTTTTGTAAATCGATCTTGAATATTGCAAATGTATTTTCCATAACTTTTTTCGTCTTTTATTGTTACAACCAGAACAGAACTGCGATAAGGGGTATTCTTTTCTATAAAACTCTCCAGAGCCTTTCCATTTTTTTCCCAACTGAAATTAATAGGTGGTTCCCCTTGAGCAGAACACAACAAGTTGACAAGATCACCTTCCTTTGCCATTACGTCACCACTGGACATGTTGGTTAACACACGAGGGGCATTATCTGACGAACAGAAACATGCAGTTATACATTCCAAGTTAACTGATGAGCAGGTTGGGGGCATGTAGAATTAAATCTATAATAAACGTAAACATACCATGTTTTTTCGGCTCAAAAAATAAGGTGTTACAATTTATATGCAATACCTGAGTTTATGCTAAGGGTTGTCGATGGAGGACTCCAATCAGTGGAGTAAAATTCACCCTTAAATGAAATATTTAGGACAGACAGTTAAAATTATAGAGTTGACGAAAAATAGGTTTACGGATATTAGGATATTAGATATAAGAGTATGAGGATATATTAGATATTGAGATATGTTAGTGAAAATGCAGAAGGATCACTAATGGCCGTATTCTAAAAGCTCACTCACACTCAAACTCGTTGAGTGGGAGATCCTTATCTTCTCATAACGTTTCCATGACGGTATTTCCAGCCGAAAAGGGGATTGATTTTCAGTGATTTACCTTATATCTTTCCATCATTGAAAGAAAACTTTCTCATTGACCAGCATTAACAAAATTTATATGCCACACTCAATGAGTGTAGGTGTGAGTGAGCTTTTTGAATACAGGCGTTAGTGTTATTGAATATATTTGTTTATTTTAATGTATCATCATAACTAGCAATACCTTGTCATCAAGAAAGATCCTTTGAAAAATGCTGTAACTTGCTCCAGACTCCAGTGGTCCATTATAATAATCATTTGTTGTTGATCTTCGTCTTCGTGTTGTTTGAAAACTTGTATTTCCACCATCACCAAGTATAAACATGTTTTCATCTCTGCTTGTTATGACGGCGGCAATATAAGGTTTTGGTTCAGCTGACGTTTTAGCTTCTTTGTATGTTACTAGATCATTGTTATCGTAACTGCTGGGTGATGGAAGTTTGTCGCTGCTTTTTCTCAATTTAAGAGCCACGACGTAAAAATACCTAAAACATATTCCGTTTGTTCAGTAAGAGATAAAGTCTGCAGTTGGTCGTCCAAATAATTTCTTCCTTGCAATTATCTGAAATATTGCTTTAGGAACGCCGGTTTTGAACTTACGTAAAATTTTCTGAAGGGATTTGTAACGAGAAAGTTAATGTAGTTTCTGTTCTTTTTGTTGCCACCTTTGTTTCTTCTGTATAATAGATAACATCAATGATATGAACTTGAATGTCGGTATTTAGGTTGTGATGTTAGCTTTCTCTTAAGGTGATGAGATCTAACAACGAAACTATGAAATATAGGCCCTACCTCCATTTGTAAACATTCCCTGACTTTTACTGTAGTTTCCTCGACCAACTTTAGTACTTGCAAGAACACGAACAAAATATTTGGTTGAGGCATTCAAATTGTCTAACATCATCTTGACTAACATCATCTTCTCTGTAGTATGTTCTTTAAAGCAAGGTTTAGTTTCTTCATGTGAGATACACACAGTATAATTGGCGATCACGCCATTTCTTTTCTCTTCTTCAGGAAGATCCCACGTGACTGATAATGAGGATGAACTTTCTGCAGTGACTTTGACGTTCAGTGGAGGACCTTCTGGGGCTAAATACATCAAAATGGTAACCGTAAGACGTTTCCTCGAATTTTCTTTGTTTCGACAGGTAACAAATGAGGCCGGGTAACAATTCGTTATTATTTTGCAGAATATTAGTCAGTTAAAATATCTATCACAAGAGTTGTAGCAATCTTAAGCAATGCGCGAAAGATCCATCATTCTTACCATCCTCTCGTGTTAAATAAAAAATTTATACGCAAGTTATAAATTTGCGGTTAATGGAGTAATATGTTCTAGAAGGTCCTATTTCACCCTACATATGGACCATCTCTGGCCTAGCTGTCATAGTTATCGCATGCACTAATTTTAGCCCGGGCAAGGTCAAGGCCTCAATAGAACAAGGCAGTCTTTACCAGGCATGTTAATAGTTATAAAGTCCAAAATCTGAACGAACTCTGGCATCTTAGCATGTGAACAACGTATGCAAACTTGTGTTACGGCCAATCGAATCTCCCCTGACGGTCTTTCCCTTCACGTGGACTTGAACAATGGCCCCCTTTTTTCTGCAAGGATTTTGCCTGCTCCCCATGCATGCTTGGTCATCCGCAAGACCTCAGCCAATGCGTCCACAACGCCGGTCAAATATTTAAAGGTCTCTATCGAAAGGCAGTAATACATATATCTGCGTTTCAAAAGTAACTATAAACAAAAACTACAATGCCGAAGCAAGCTAAAAAGCGCCGTTCAACTCGTACTCGTCCATCGCGTCAAAACGAACAAACTGTGGCGGAAACCAATGGCGAGACGTCGAACGCGGCCAACCACACCAGCGAACAGCCGCTTGGTTCTGCCACGAACTACGCCGACATGTCCACCGAAGTCCTCCATCTTCTCTTGGCCCAGCGAAACCTCTCTCTTTCTGGTTCGCGTGACGTTCTTTTACGCCGCCTTGCTGATCACGACAGAACGGCAAATTCTCCAGCCTTAACACCAGCTCTACCACCACGTGATCCGACTCCCAGTACGCCTCAATTTTCCGCTGAATCTCTCCGCTCGTTGGCAGTTAACCTCGCACCGTTGCTCCGCGACGTTTTGGCCCGCGACACGCCACCATCGCCTCAACCACCGCTTCCACAACCATCGCCAGCAGCGAGCCTTATCGCGCAGTCCGCGCCAACACCCTCTTTCGATCTGGGTAATCCTTCCAGCGTTGCCACTTTAATCTCGTCTTCGCCAGTTTACTCGTCATCCACCTCATTACCGTCAGAGACTCCCAGTCTGCCTAAGAAAGTCGAGGAACAGATCGTTAACGGTGAGTTTGTCGATTTCTCTTTGCTTCTCCCGGGTAATTCAGACCGCCCCTCTTTCGGTCCAATTCGCCTGTCAGTCGAAGGTGATCAGGGCTATTCGATACCTCTTCCGAATTTCTCAAATTTCGGCAAGCGTCCAAAAATCGACAGTCTTGATAAGTGGCTAACAGCCTTCGGTGTTTACGCTTCGGTTGTTGTCGCTAAATTTCCGCACAAAGCTTCGCAGCTGTTTGCCTACCAGCGCATAATCCGAGAGGCTTCACAAAAGTTTAAAGGTTTGGCTTGGTATGCGTACGACATAGATTTTCGCAAGCTCGCCGCGAAACATCCAGCGCTCAATTGGGGCGAACGTCATCTCCAGCTGTGGCTAGATAAGTTCACAGGTCTCGCGCGCACTATCTGCTTTGTCTGTGGCGGCGCCGATCACATGTCTGATGTTTGCCCTCTTTCCTCATCAAGGTCCGAAGGCGGCCGGTCAAGCAATTTCCCCAACCGAGGATTCTGCCGCAATTTTAACGGGGGCCTCCCGTGCTCAGCAAACCCATGTTCCTTCGAACATCGGTGTAATCGATCCGGCTGTGGCGGACGGCATGCGGCATATGAACACGCTGACACCAGCTCTGCGAGAACTGATGACACTCCGCGTCGCAGAAAACACAAGTAAAGAGTTTGTTGATAGATTAAAACCAGTTACACCAATTAACGTTAATCTCCTGGAGTCCATGCTAACTAACCACCCAGATCGCGAATTTGTTGTTGCCCTCTGTTCGGGTTTAAGGGCGGGTTTTAAAATTGGGTATAAGGGGCCCCGTCACCCTTCGTTTCACCTAATCTTAAAACGGCCCTTATGTCGCCGGAAATAGTGGATGAAAACCTGCTCAACGAAGTCAAACAAGGCCACACAGTTGGCCCCTTCACTAGCCCTCCATTTACAAACTTCCAAGTCTACCCCTTGGGCCTTGTCCCTAAGAAGAACTCATCCAAATGGAGAACCATTTTTCACCTTTCCTATCCAAAATCATCAACCACTAGCGTTAATGCTAATATTTCATCCGAAGATTACTCTTTACAGTACGTCCGAATTGACGACGCTATGAGAATCCTTCTTGAACTAGGCCCGAACTGTTTCATGGCCAAAACCGATGTTCAATCCGCGTTCCGTAATATCCCAGTTCACCCCGATGACTGGGAACTCCTAGGCATGAAATGGCGGGGACTGTATTTTTTCGATCGTGTTCTTCCCTTCGGCCTTCGCAGTGCACCGTACATTTTTAACATGCTTTCGGATGCCCTCGAATGGATTCTCCTACACAAATTAGGTATTCCAAATGTTCTCCATATTTTGGACGATTTCTTTATCGCTGAGGCTGCCCCCCGTCCTTTATGCCTGACTTCACTGTGTAAGTTGTTGTGTTTGTTCACTGAACTGAATGTCCCCATAGCACCTGGAAAACTTTTGCTCCTACCCAAACCTTAGAATTTCTTGGGATTACTCTTGATTCCATCCACATGCTGGCTCTCCTGCCCGAGGATAAATTAAGTCAGGCTAGGACCCTTCTTGCGCAATGGCACAAACGCTCTTGCTGTAAGTTAAAGGAGCTTCAATCTCTTATTGGGATCCTTCAGTTTGCATGCCGAGTCATTGCCCCAGGACGCACATTCCTCCGACGCATGATTGCCCTTACATGTGGTATTAAACAGCCCTATCATTTTGTGAAGTTGAACACGGGTTTTTATAAGGATTTAGCTATGTGGGAAGTTTTTCTCAAACACTGGAATGGTATTAGTCTTTTTCTTGAGCTCGGGCAGACCCCCTCGCCCTCACTTGAATTATTTACCGATGCAGCAGGTTCCATCGGTTTTGGTGGATACTTAGCAGGACAATGGTTTCAGGGCCGGTGGCTACCCAGCCAAAATATCGCTAACAAAACTGGTATTTCGATCGCATGGCAAGAGCTTTACCCAATTTATCTTGCATGTTGTCTCTGGGGTGCCCAATGGGCAACAAAACGCATTGTGTTTTTCTGTGACAACGAGTCCGTTGTCCAAATTCTCAATCAGAAGACGTCAAAATGTCCGAAGATAATGGACTTACTCCGACCGATTGTTCTTTGTACTTTGCAAAACAACTTTACATTTACGGCCAGGCATGTACGCGGACTTGACAATGGCATTGCTGACTCGCTCTCTCGTTTTCAGATGGACCGCTTCAAACAATTAGCGCCGCTGGCCTCTCCTCTGCCTTGCGTCATCCCAGTATCCATGATTCAAACTTAAAGAACCGTGTTTATGAACTTATTCAGCATTCATGGGCACCATCAACCAAACAAACCTACGCCGCCGGCATAAAACAATTCATTTCATTCTGCCTTGCAAAAGGTATCGTGACACCCTGTTCACCTTTACTGCCTGCGACTGAACTTACCCTGCTCTACTTCGTCGGCCATCTATCCAAATCTGTTTCATATTCAACTGTTAAAACATACTTAGCTAGCGTGTCTTACCTCCACGTAAATTTTCAAATCCCATTCGACATGGGGAGCATGCAACTATTAGAAAAAAGTCTAAAAGGTCTGAAGCGCCTCAAGGGTGAAAAATTGCGGGATCGACGGCCTATCACTGTGACCGAACTCGAGTCCCTTCATTCTGCCCTACGACCTCAGTTTACAGACTGTTTAGACAATGTGATGCTTTGGGCCGCCTTCACTCTGGCCTTTTTTGGCTTCCTGCGCTGTAGTGAATTCACGTGTAATTCTCCATTCGATCCCGAGTGCCACCTATCCCGCAATGACATTATTTTCCACCCAAATATCCTCCACGCAGAATATTACGATGTCTTGATCAAGCGTTCCAAAACCGACCCTTTTCGTCGTGGATGCCGTTTGACAATCGGCTCATCGCGTAATAAACTCTGCCCGGTTCGAGCTATGAAAACATATCTACTCCAGTCATCGTCTGGCCAAACCCCTCGTCCACTGTTCCAATTTACATCTGGTGTCCCACTTACACGTGTAACCCTAACATCGCATCTACGTCATCTACTTCAAGGGCAAGGACTGGCCGAAAACCTCTACGCCTCTCATAGTTTCAGGATCGGAGCTGCTACAGCTGCGGGCTCAGCCGGCCTACCCTCCTGGCTCATCAAAACGCTAGGACGTTGGTCTTCAGACTGTTACGAGAGATACATTAGAACTCCAAAGGACGTCTTAGCTTCCGTTCCATACAAACTAACTGCAAGTACCAAACATTAAAAATTTTGTTTTAATATCTACCTTTTAAACTCAATCATTATGCTTCCTTGCTGTATAGTCCGTATAACACCAGTCCCCTATTTGTGTGTATGTGGATCCTTCCTGCAAACTCATAGCCTGCCGTATGTTTTGTTCTGTCATGCTACCACGGCAACTGCACGATATCTTCGAATCTGTTTGTTCAAGGACCCACATACACACAATTGCCGGCCACCTTCGCAGGATTGTGTTTTAAAGACATTTTAGGGTGGCCCTCTCTCCTGTCGAAAGACAGGACTCTAATTCGGCTACTTCCCGTGGCGGAAATGGCGGTTTGCACTTTGTGCAGACCGCCATTAATGGCAGGAAGTGCTGTCCTTCTGGACAACACCTCACCACGTGAAGTGCATTTGTACAGGTCATTTTGGTCGAAAACGCGACCTGATGACCTGACCTAGAGACTCGATGGGTCAGTCAGACAATATTTGAGTCGAGCTGACTGACCTGAACAGGGGTCCGCCTGTTCCCCTGTTATCTAGAGGTCCGCCTGTTCCTCTAGAAAAACCTATAGTTTTTGCATGCTCTGTCGGGTTTTGAGTGCCCTTACTGTCTCAGTATAACTAATGGTGGTCCCTAGATCATCAGGTCTCAACTCACTGAACAACATGCACAGAGCTGGCTCACACCCTCTGCAACTTAGAGGTCCTCCTGTTCCTCTAGGAAAAACTTAGGTTAATTAGAGCCTCTAGACCTTTTTTCGAGCGCTTCCTGCCCAAATTATATGCCACAAAAATGTCTCATTGTGTTTTTCTTTGCTGAGTTGCCAGACGTTCAAAATCCTTATAAAGAATCTCAACATATAAACTACATTAAAAAAAAATTTATACGCAAGTTATAAATTTGCGGTTAATGGAGTAATATGTTCTAGAAGGTCCTATTTCACCCTACATATGGACCATCTCTGGCCTAGCTGTCATAGTTATCGCATGCACTAATTTTAGCCCGGGCAAGGTCAAGGCCTCAATAGAACAAGGCAGTCTTTACCAGGCATGTTAATAGTTATAAAGTCCAAAATCTGAACGAACTCTGGCATCTTAGCATGTGAACAACGTATGCAAACTTGTGTTACGGCCAATCGAATCTCCCCTGACGGTCTTTCCCTTCACGTGGACTTGAACAATGGCCCCCTTTTTTCTGCAAGGATTTTGCCTGCTCCCCATGCATGCATTGGTCATTCGCAAGACCTCAGCCAATGCGTCCACAACGCCGGTCAAATATTTAAAGGTCTCTATCGAAAGGCAGTAATACATATATCTGCGTTTCAAAAGTAACTATAAACAAAAACTACAAAAATAAACCCCACCCACCTCCCCACAGCGAAGGACTGGCCGCTGTGGCATCCGCATGTAAATATACTGATACGTTAAGTTCGTTCATATGTTATCTCTAGATAGTCTATCGATATTCTTCTTGTAACTTGTAATGAATTGCAGTGATTAAACAATGGCAGGAAGTGCTGTCCTTCTGGACAACACCTCACCACGTGAAGTGCATTTGTACAGGTCATTTTGGTCGAAAACGCGACCTGATGACCTGACCTAGAGACTCGATGGGTCAGTCAGACAATATTTGAGTCGAGCTGACTGACCTGAACAGGGGTCCGCCTGTTCCCCTGTTATCTAGAGGTCCGCCTGTTCCTCTAGAAAAACCTATAGTTTTTGCATGCTCTGTCGGGTTTTGAGTGCCCTTACTGTCTCAGTATAACTAATGGTGGTCCCTAGATCATCAGGTCTCAACTCACTGAACAACATGCACAGAGCTGGCTCACACCCTCTGCAACTTAGAGGTCCTCCTGTTCCTCTAGGAAAAACTTAGGTTAATTAGAGCCTCTAGACCTTTTTTCGAGCGCTTCCTGCCCAAATTATATGCCACAAAAATGTCTCATTGTGTTTTTCTTTGCTGAGTTGCCAGACGTTCAAAATCCTTATAAAGAATCTCAACATATAAACTACATTAATAACGCAATAATAGTCTCTTCGCCAAAACCATCCTTGTTTCCAGCAGCTACATATATTTCATAACTTGTGTATGGAGTGAGCTTATCTATTTTATATTTATTTATTTTTCCCGTGGTGATATTCAGAATAAGTGAGCCGTCTTTCTTCATTTTAATCCAAAATCTTGATACGCTAGTAAATCCTTGATTCTCAGGAACAATCCACGATATTTCAACACTTCGTGACTTGATGTTAAAGGCGGTGATGTTTCTAGGTTGCTCTGGATATAAAGCTGTTAAGAATAGAAATAAATGAGATAAATATCCTTTCTAAATTATCGTTGGCAGCTCTTTATTAGAGCTTCGATGGGATATAAAGCAATGTATAACTTACTGTCACCACAAATCTCAATTTTCATACAAGGTTGAACTTCATATGATAATGGAATAAACCGTAAAGCTCTTGTTGTTGTGTCATTTAAACTTGTTATGGTTGTGCCATTAAAAGCATTCTTGTTGCCCAGAAATATCTTTGAACAAATGCATAGAAATGTCACTCAGGAAAATTTACATTTGCGCGAGAATCGGACATTGGACTACTCATTGTGATGCAATAATACCGTATACGATATTTCCCTCCTTTGATGGAGGCATAGAAATGTAAAAGAAAACGTATCAGTCACCTTGTGATTTCCAGTCTGAACTTGTTTCCAATTGTTAGAATCAACAGTGTAATTTAAGTAAAACGTCTTCACCCATTTTGCATTGGTACTGTCACCAAATATTGCGACAGTCAATATCACATAAAGTCTTCCCAGGTCCACTTGAAGATAATGTTTGCCATCTGAGACAGAAGCACACCAAGAACTACCACTAGATATCCTTGCATCAGAAGCTCTGTGATCTTCTGCAGAAACTGAGGCAGTGAATGACGAATCTGGAAATCTTTCTTTGTCTTCTAACAAAGGATTGTTGCAAATATGACCTGAAATACCAAGATAAATTGTTACGTCCATGTAAAGCAGCATAATTAAACCTTTATTATAGACACAATACATACCACAAACAACGCTATAAGATTTCACAGTATCAATACATTGATATTCAAAGTAAAGATATTTTTTCAATCCAGGACACAGATCATCAGAGAACAAGGTTTCATTCACAGTTATTTTACACTCATGTTGACCATCACATTGTTTTTTAACAAGACATGTTACATCAACTGTACAACTATAATCATCACTCAAACCACATGTCTTTGAGTCAGACAATCCACGGTAAGATGCAGTCTTGACCACCATGAACTGATCTTTAGGACAGTTCACGTTCGCTGTCGCATTTCCATAACATGTCACTGAACCTTGATAAGGATAACACGAAATGTTAATCGCGATTGAGACTTGAAAGGACTCGGGGAGAATACAGCTGTAGCTAATTATACGTTCTTGTTCTCAATTTTTTCTCTTCACTGTTGAATTTCTCAGACAACCCTGGCAGACAGAAACGATCGCACAAAACTTACCAAAATTAAAACGTTTATTCTCCCCGTCTACACAGCTTCTGACTGTTTCTATGTATCCATCAGGGTCTGCACACCTGGCTGCAGAAGAATAAAGTAGACCACTTATACCTCCCCAAGAGGTTTGTTTTACAATCCGGTGGTCAGCACAGGCAGATTTTTCTTTAATTTCTGGGGTAGCAGGAACGTAGACATAAAACATTTCATCTTGATATTTTTTATCAAATATAGCAAGACATCCTTGTCTTTTCAAATTCAACATGGTGCCATTATCACGAAACCGAAACTGAGCAGCTGGGTCCAGACAGTTGTTGGAGAGTTCAAGAAAAGATACACTGCCCCAGTCCGAGCCTCCTGACTGTATTCGTGCTGTGTCATAGATACACTTTCCTGTCTTCACATGTTTCACAAAGAAACCAGCAATACCTGAAAAACATGAGCACAAACACATCTCGCCTGGCTTACCCATGAATGTATGAGACTAAAAATTTAAGATTCAAGAGAATGCTTGATTTTTTTCTTGCGGTGTTTTAACGAAATATTAGAAAGTTTAAGCTTCACGTTATACCTCAACCGGCAAACACCAGGCAAAGAAAAAAAATAGGCAAAAATGTGATAAAGCGTAAACGAACTCGAAGTTTTAAAACTCCAGGCGCAATCGTTGTTTACTTATAGGAAAAAAATAGGAAACGAAGAATCTGGATGAAAATTCTGTCAAGAGAGTTCAGTCTTTCCCGTTTCCGCTTTCCAGAATCGCGGTGCTTGAATTAACTCCTTATTTAAAGCTCTAGTGATTTATATTTTCCAAGTCAATCAGATAATTAGTGAACGATCATTAAGCGAAATACTGCCATTGGAAACTCTAGTTAGTATAAATATCGGCAATATAATAAGAACCATCTCCAGAGATACGAAATATCGAATCTAATAACTTGCTTTGCCAATATTTGGCAAAGCAAGTTATTAGATGGTTTTGCCATAGATTTAAAGGTTTAATTCATAGGTTTGATGTAGTTTTAAAACGAGAATGGGAGTTGATGGAAGTTATAAGACATGTTTACCTCCGCCGTCAACAACGTCAGTAATCGTCAATACTCTTCAACTTTGGACTTTCCCAATTTTGGTAGTGAGCGGTCCAACGCAAGCGAGACTTGCAACTCACATCAACTCGCATTAATCATGAGACAGTGAACAAATCATTGTGAATTAGACAGAATTTGAATGCAAGGTGTAATATTTTAATAGCTAGCCTACTTACTATGAAGATACAAGAGACTGACAATAAACCCTGATAATTTCCACCCATAGCACTTTGAAAACATCTTTTCTTTTTAAAAAGTCGATTTATCGACAAAGATATCTGCAGTAAAGATGTAAGTTTAAACGAAGCCGGAAGACGAACTAAATCGTTGATGTTGCGAAGACAAATATTCATAAAACTCAGTGTGAAGTCTGAATGTTGCTTTCATAATCCCAAACAAACAAAACATCTGACATTCTTTTACAGTAAATTACTGTAAATAATGGCATCAATCATAAATCTACCATCTTCCTCAAAAGCTATGTATAAATGACATGGTCATACATGTTATATTAAGAGAAATGATCGTCTCTAGACCTAATTTGTTGTCGATAAGTTGATTTTTAAAATAAACAGGCAGCAGTTAGTTATGGTCTGTAGCCTTATTTATGTGTCTTCCTGTATGCTTGGTATAGCCTCGGGTTTAGCACTGTCATATATTATTTATTTTCCACGATATCTTTCCCATTTCATGCCCATATGTCGTATGTCTTAAGGTACGTAATATAGGTCTATAACGACTTTCATCAATTTATATTTATTCAAACCTTGGAATCTCGTGTTGTGTAATGTATTAAATGCTCACTGATCATATGTATTTAATATTCATAATTTACATACATGTTAACATTATTCTCTATTAGCACTTTCCATCAACCTATGGTGAAAAACGATCAGGTCGAAGTACATTATTGAAATTATTGAAATCTTCATTTCATTACTGAAATTTTAATCTTAAGTTTATTGTAAATGTTCCGTGCAAAAGCCTCTTTATAATCCAGTTTCCTCCTGGTTTTCGTATTCTTGCCTTTTTTGATTCAGATGACTATAAACATGATCATCTTCGTCCTTTCCCGGTCTTTTAAGAGCTGTATACGTCGACTGTTCATTCTCCACTTGATCATTATTGTCAACGTCATCATAAATATCTTGGGAACTGTCTTTGGACTTCCTCTCCAAATTTCCCGTAGTGCTAGACGATTTGAGACGATGAACTCGGTGAAACAAATTAGCGATAATAATCAGTAAAATGACCAGAAGAATTATTAATACTATAATTCCCACGAGATGATTTCCGCAACCTTCGCACTCTCCTTGAGCTAATGAAAGGAAGAGGAAAAATTAGAAAGATGCAACCCAGAATACAACAGATTTACACTCCGTTTAAGACTCATTTCAAGAGCCTGAAATCCTCTGTTGTGGAACTGTAACCGATGCAAAAAGCTCTGGAAACTACACAAGTTGTTTTCTCTCCCTAATTTAGTTTGTAAATTACCTGTAAGTTTCACAACTGAAATTGTATGAGCAGTTCTTGTAAATCGATCTTCAATATTGCAAATATATTTTCCAAAATTTGTTTCGTCTTTCATTGTTACGACTAGTAAGGAACTACGATGAGGCATGTCCTTTACCATGAATCTATCCAGTGACGTCTGATCTTTTTCCCAACTGAAAGTGATCGGTGGTTCCCCTTGAGCAGAACACAACAAGTTGACAAGATCACCTTCCTTTGCCATTACGTCACCACTGGACATGTTTGTTAACACACGAGGGACACCACCTGAGGAACAAAAATTCACCTACGTTACGTTACAATATAACCCAAGAGCTGCGTGGCGCGGTCTTCGAATAACTTCGCTTATAGAATATGATATAACAACAGCTTAAAATAAACCGAGATTTTCCTTAAGCTCTTTAAACGTAAACTTACCATTTTTTTTTCTGCTCAAAAAATAACGTGTGATTATTTGTATGCAATACCTGTGTTTGTGGTTAGGGTTGGTCTTGGCGCTTGTGTTATCGTTGTCGATGCGGGACTCCAATCAGTGGAGTAAAATTCACCCTTAGAGTGAATGAAAATAGGTTTTCGTGTTAACAAGATATAGGATATTTTTGAGAAGGAGACGATTATTAGTGAAAATGCAGAAAGTTCACTTTGTTTTATTGAATATATTTGTCTTTCCTAATCGCTTCGAATGTAATGTCATAACTAGCAACACCTTCTCATCAAGAAAGATCCTTTGAAAAATACTGTAACTTGCTCCAGACTCCAGTGGTCCATTATAATAATCATTTGTTGTTGATCTTCGTCTTCGTGTTGTTTGAAAACTTGTATTTCCACCATCACCAAGTATAAACATGTTTTCATCTCTGCTTGTTATGACGGCAGCAATATAAGGTTTTGGTTCAGCTGACGTTTTAGCTTCTTTATATGTCACTAGATCATTGTTATCGTAACTGCTGGGTGATGAAAGTTTGTCATTGTCTTCTATTCTTAAAGCCACAACGTAAAAATACCTACAAAATATTCTGTAGTTATATAGTCATCTGAATGGTTTCTTCTGAAATTCTTTGTAATATTAGTTCAGTAACGTTTATAACTTACGCAAAATTTTCCGAAGGGCTTTGTAATGGGAATGTTAATGTAGTTACTGTTTTATTTGTGGCCATCCCTGTTCGTTCTGAGGAAAAATATGCAAATTTGTTAGTGATCTGGCATGGAATTTTTCCTATGATAATTTAGTCAGTTGTGAAGTTTACTCTTCCCAGACTAATAGGCAGATCTTAAGATTAAACGTCGGATCTACCTCCATTTGTAAATATTCCCTGACTTTTACTGTAGTTTCCTCGACCAACTTTAGTACTTGCAAGAACACGAACAAAATATTTGGTTGATGCATTAAAATTGTCGATGACTAACATCATCTTCTGTGTAGTATGTTCTTTAAAGCAAGGTTTAGTTTCTTCATGTGAGATACACACAGTATAATTGACGATATCGCCATTTCTTTTCTCTTCTTCAGGAGGATCCCACGTGACTGATAATGAGGATGAACTTTCTGCAGTGACTTTGACGTTCAGTGGAGGACCTTCTGGAGCTGGAAATTGAATAGTAAGTTGTTTCTTTGGGTTCGCTTTAGTATTTTGGTATCGTCACTAATACATACCACAAACAACGCTGTAAGATTTCAAAGTATCAATACATTGATATTCAAAGTAAAGATATTTTTTCAATCCAGGACACAGAACATCAGAGAACAAGGTTTCATTCACAGTTATTTTACACTCATGTTGACCATCACATTGTTTCTTAACAAGACATGTTACATTAACTGTACAACTATAATCATCACTCAAACCACATGTCTTTGAGTCAGACAATCCACGGTAAGATGCAGTCTTGACCACCATGAACTGATCTTTAGAACAAGTGACATTCTCTGTCGTTTTTCCATAAAATGTCACTGAACCTGGAAAATAATAGTTCAATATGCAAAGATTTGTTGGATTGTAAATATAATTTTATCTGAGCCCAAGACTGAGAGTAGCGAACAACAACAACAATCAATAATTGAAAGTAACTTGGAGATATTCCAAGTGAGGCAAATTGATAACAAAACTTTGCATGGTTATCATGACAAGTAGTGAAAACATGTATGAATAAATCCATTTTTAAAAAGGGTAACTTTTACCTGGCCAAAATATACTGTTGCTGCAAGTTCCGCATGTATCCTGCTTTGTACAAATCACAAGCACGTAAATAACAAATTCGTTTAACTGTGTGTCGTGTATATGGTTCATGCATATTAAACAAGTGATTGACCATTGGAAATTTGAACGAATTGAGTCGTGATGATAGTTTGACTTAGCTTTGCAATAATTTATATGGCAACATGCACAAGACTAGAGTCGGAAATAGATGCTAAAACATTACGTAAAAAGAAATAGGGGAAAGTCTATATACAAATATATAATTTATGACTACATGCATGATTACATACATGTAAATTATACATGTATGTATATACATGCATGATTATATAGTCAGGTGTATAATCCATCGCAATTATCGCTACTCTGGTAATTTAATTTATTAAATTCTTTAATTAATAAAATATTACATTCAGGACACAAAGCGAGAATAGTTTGGAGTTATTGATGTGGCAGAATAATTTATCGTGTATCGATGAAAAAATTATTTCCTCTTTAAGACAAGAGACCTAATATGTCTTGTCTTGACAATTAATAGTTCGGCCATGAGCTGGTGTCGTATGTGAACTAATATATAGCTGCATATGACCAGAGCGAATAACATAGCCAGAGCGTCGTAATAATAAAAATACACAAACTTTTATTAAATCTCATCACAAACTATTACCGTATTCTGTATTATCGCCTGTTTTCACTACGTACTCACCCTATATAGTACATAGTGAGTAGCTTTGCCAATCAGATTGTAGCGGTGAGTTGCTATATATAGTGTATGTATTTTTAAATTGTCAATATTATATGCGTGACCATCCACATAAGTATGGTATAATTATGTAGCTGAATATTTACTACATATAGTGTTGTGACAAAAACTTACCAAAGTTGAAACGTTTATCTTCAGAGTCATTACAATCTGTTGTCAATCCAATGTAGGGATCAATTCTTTCTTTTCGAGCGAACGAGGCGTGGGTTTTAGGGACTATACACCAGTTCTGAAATGAGATCTTGCCATTACCATTATAATATACAGATAAACCTCCCCAGGATGTCTGGGTTATACGACGATAGATTTTCTTTCCAGGATCTTGGGCACAGGCAGAATAATCTAATCCTTTTGATGCAATGGGAACGTAAAGATAAAACATGTTAAGATCATAACCAGAACCAATTTTAGCATAAGCCGCAAGACATCCTTGTCTTTTCAAATTCAACATCGCGCCATTATCACGAAACCGAAACTGAGCAGCTGGATCCAGACAGTTGTTGGAGAGTTCAAGAAAAGACAGGCTGCCCCAGCCCAAGCCTTCTGACTGTATTCGTGCTGTGTCATAGATACATTTTCCTGTCTTGATATGTTTCAAAAAGAAACCAGCAACACCTGAAAAATCTTAAAAATGCAAACGTAGACGAGAATAAAACCTTTCGATTCACGTTACGAACACATTTTAGACTTGGAAATCGCTTGCTCTCGAGCTCAGACAAAATAGAGGATGGGATTAACTTTCATCAGAGCGAGGCTCACAGAGGATATTATGACGTAATTATGACGTATTATCGTGTATTCCACTGGTGCACAAATTTATGCATGCCCTCTATTAGTTAAAATTGAATTTATAAACAGAAATAGGAGGCACCCAGAGGAACTCACAGTTTATTTATTATATAGGAAATTGCAACGAGAAAATTGCATTCCATTTACTTGATATATACGCAAACATTCATCACAAACCGTTACCGTTCACTCAAACTTAACTATAAGTGCACATGAGTTGCGTACTATACGTTTTAGTTTAGATTGCTTTACTTAATTTAGATTGCAATTTAAACACAGCGTATGACGGAATGGTTTTGTGTAAGTAAATGTAAGAGAGCGAGGATATATGAGGAGCCCAACCATAGCACGTCAATCCGCGTCAGGCTGGAATCATTAACACAATATATTAGCACTTGAAATATCTCAGACTTGTTTCAAAAACATACTGTAGTTGTTCACTAGTAAAGTAGATACGTTGCTTCCTTGTTGTGTTATAACGTTGTTTCCTCCATCAATTGATAACGAGGCTAATTACATCGATCAACGTACATTAGTACTGCAAACTTACCCTGAAGAAAAAGGAGAATGAAAATAAAAACTGCTAAATTCTGTTGAAGACGCTTGAAATACATCTTTTCAATCCAGCAGATCTAAAACGACTCTGTGAAATGCAAAGGCGGAAGATGAAACTGAATCATTGTATCGAAGATAAATATTCAGAGAAACTCAGTGTGAAGTCGGAATGTTTACAGTTTAATAACGTACTAAAAATCAAACAATCTTACACGTAGAAAAAATAAATAAATTTGTTTTCACTTTTCTCGCCAAATTAGCCTTTATCGTCGTTCGTACATGTGTTCACTCTGGTAAAAAAATGCCTGGCCTACAGCCAAAAATGAATGCAACGTATTTGTTTAAGAGCTAGATTATGTAAAAGACTTTACGGTAAATGCATGGTTTTTATTTTACACGGTGCATGAATTCATATAATTACAACGAAATATTTGGCAGTAAATATAAAGTTAAAGATATATTGATATGAATGAGTCAGTCTAGCTTTTCATTTCGTTGCCATTGCCAAGACCATTAACAATTAATGCGCGGTTACTGCATTTGTGGTTTCAAATTTGTATTCAATATTGCGTGGGACGGCGCAATGTAAAAAGTAAATGTGTGTTTGTTTCGTTTACTTCTAATGTTTCTGTCCATACTCTTAATGACTTTATATGATTCTATGAACTTATGTGTTATGTGCAGAGCATCACTGAATGATTTTTTTATTCAGTTTGAAGACCCAAACTAAAGATTATCAACAAATGCGTTAAATCCCAGTTTCCGCTTGACTTTTGTCTTTGGGTACTTCATTGAGATATGCATATGCCTGATTATCATTGTCATCCTTCCCAGATCTTTGGAGAGCTGTATACGCCGCCTGTATATTTTCCACTTGTTCATAATTGTTGACGTCATCTTTGTCAGGATTTTCATAAACACCTTTGGGACTGTCCTTGTTATTCTCCATATTTTTCGTAATGTGTGATGATTTAAGTGGATGAAATCGGTAGATTAAGTAGGCATTGATTACGACTGAAATAACCAGCAAAATTGCTAATACAATAATCCCAACCAGGTGATTTCCGGCACAATCTTCTTCCGTATCTGAATGGTGAAATCATTAGAAAGAATTAACTATGCAATGAATGTGTCTCACCTTGTGGAAAGGAAATCGAAACCAATGTACTTCTTATTTTCTAATCTGGGACCGGTTGTTCGAAAGGCGTTTAGCTTAAACGGTGTTATAACGATAAGCCAAAGTTTAAAAATACTCTCATAGATCTTGGGTATCACTGAACTCGCATTTTATACGTTTAAATTGTACTTCCATTGAAAATTAAACTATTTACATCGAAATATTTCAGCTCGGTTGTTCAATAAATCGATAATTTTGTTTTCTATTTTGAACTTATCCACCGTTTAAGCTAAGCGCCTTTCGAACTGCCATGCATGCATGTGATTGGATCATAGTTCACATAGTTGTTAATTAATAATGAATAGAGCTCGCAAACGTGCTGTTTAAAACTCCTGGGTCACCAATGATGAAATATCTAAATCCAATCAAGCGTCTGAAATTCCGTTCATTTGTGATAGTAAATATCAGTGTGCATGCGATAACTAAATTATACCTTCAACAATCTGTTTTTGAATCAAAAATGTACGATTCGTGCTCTGAAATCGATCATGAACATGACAAATATATTTTCCAAAACTTGTTTCGCCTTTCATTGTTACGACGAGTAAAGAACTACGATGAGGCATGTTCTTTTCCATGAAAGCCTCCAGTGGCTTCTGATCTTTTTCCCAACTGAAAGTGATCGGTGGTTCACCTTGAGCAGAACACAGCAAGTTGACAAGATCACCTTCCTTTGCCATTACGTCACCACTGGACATGTTGGTTAACACACGAGGACTGCCTGGGGAAAGGAAAGGAAATTACATTTTCTCAAAGCTGAATTTGTGTTAAATAAACACTTACTATATACCAAGTTTCAAAATACGATTCATAGAAAAATAGAAAAAATTATTGATGAAGATAAAGTAGCTAATATACCTGTATAATCACTTGTCTTCGAGACTGGGCTCCAATCCGTAGAGTAATAATCCTGTTGCAAAATTATGATATTACTATGTAGTAGCTAAAGACGGACGACGTTATGAAGTAACGTTTCAATCATGCCCATCAAGACTGTGATAACGCTTGAATTACCTGATCATTGAGTATAATCCTTTGAAAAATACTGTATCTAGTGCCAGGTTCAAGCGGACCATTGTAGTAATCACTCGCAGTTGATCTGCGTCTTCGTGATGTTGAATCACTTGTATTCTTACCATCACCAAGTATAAACACGTCTTCATTCACACCGCCGGATGTAAAGATTGCAGCAATGTAAGGTTTGGGATCAGATGATTTTCTTGCCTCACCATACGTCACTAGTTCATTGTTGTCATAACTACCAGTTATTCTAAGTTCGTTGCTGTCTTCTACTTTTAATCCCACGACGTAAAAATGCCTGAAGAGAAACATTTACCTCTTAAATAGCACTTGGTGTCTGTCTTCGTACACTAATATTTAAATAAATAAACTTACAAATACGTAATTGAAGGAATTTTCAATGAAAATGTGAGTGTACTTGATGTCACGTCAACAGCCTGTTCTGTCGCTCCTGAAAATATTGATAGTAAAAAAAAATCAAAATTAATGTAATACGCTCTGTATGAGCATGACTAACTCATTTCTAAAATATTGGGTCAATTTCCGAATTTGTGCCAAGAATGAACAGCTTAAATTCGATACTAAATATGTGGCTTAATACTATAAGTTACATAAGCGACCTTGACTGCATCGTTTGTACCCAGGGACCGGGAACCAAAAGACGGTGTTGTTCAACATACCTCCATTAGTAAAGAATCCTTTACTCTCACTGTAGTTACCACGACCAGCTTTAGTACTCGCTTGAACACGAATGTAGTATTTGGTTAATGGATTCAAATCCCGCACAACCCAATTTCTTTCAGTGATTGTAAATGACTGAAAGCAATCTCCATTTTTTGACTTTGAAACACACACAGTATAACCCATAATGACGCCATTTTGTTTACTTTTCTCAGGAGGATCCCAAATGAAAGACAAAGACGATGTACTTCTTGATGTGGTTTTGATGTTTAATGGAGGACCACTTGGTGCTAAAAATCAAAATGGAGGTTTGTACTATATATTTTGGTTCCCTAAATCGAATTAGGCAATGGATTGTTTTCAAAGTCAAATTTGCACCATGAGCACCATTTGCACAAGCAAGAGGCAGCCAAAAAGACAGTTTCCTCAAGAATTATTCCCAGTAAACTAATTCTGTTTCAATCAGTCAGGCTTCAATGTCGTATATAGGTATACGGATCATGTCCTCACTAACGTCATTAATCACAACGTCGCCAATATAAGGAATATATTTCAATTCTAACCATCTTCCAATGTTAAAAATGAAGAAATCGTTTCTTCGCCAAAACCATCCTTGTTTCCAGCAGCTACAGATATTTCATAACTTGTGTATGGAGTGAGTTTATCTATTTTATATTCATTTATTTTTCCTGTGTTGATATTCAGAATAAGTGAGTTGTCTTTCTTCATTTTAATCCAAAATCTTGATACGCTGGTAAATCCTTGATTCTCAGGATCAATCCATGATATTTCAACACTTTGTGACTTGATTTTAAAGGCGGTGATGTTTCTAGGTTGGTCTGGATATAAAGCTGTTAAGAATAAAAATAAAATGAGATAAATATCCTTTCTAAATTATTATTGCCAATTAACTCTTTATTAAGGCCTCGATAGGATATATTAAGTATTGTTATATAGGTGCTGTGTATTTTAAATGGCTTTATATGGCTTTAAATAAATGCAATCATTCCCGCCAGGAAAAAAATGTTGCCCGCATATTGTTATAACAAACTGTAAAGTGTATTTTTTAAAATTAAATTGTTGTGTGACATGTATTTTTTTGTTCCTATATAACAAAGCACTTAATGTACACTACCTCGGGAAATAGTGAATTTTGTTTTCCCTCGAGTCTCAACATTCAGACTTGGAAAAACAACACCAACTATTTCCCTCGGGAGCATAAATTAAGTGTATAATGTATAACTTACTGTCACCACAGATCTCAATTCTCATACAAGGTTGAACTTCACTTGATAATGGAATAAACCGTAAAACTCTTGTTGTTGTGTCATTTAAACTTCTTATGGCTGCGTCATTGTAAGCATTCTTGTTTCCTTGAAATATCTATTAAAAAGTGTAAGAGGGTAAATATTTCTTTTATTGATTTAATTATACCGTTCTTGAAATATCTAAAGCTAATGATAATAACGTAAACCGTCTAAACTGAATGTTTTGCTTATTTGCTATGAGAAATTTTAAAACAAAAATATGCCCATATCAACTACGATTTTTAGAAGCTTTTGTAATCCAAGGTAGCTAGTCTAGTGGAAACATCAAACTAGAACAAAAACATTACCGTCCCATCTTGTACTCGTCTCCAGTTTACCAGGTCAACAGTGTAATTAAGGTTAAATGATGTCACCCATTTAGAGCCAGTGCTATCGCCAAATGTCGCTATAACATATAACACGTAAAGTCTTCCCAGGTCCACTTGAAGATAATGTTTACTATCTGAGACAGAAGCACACCAAGAACTACCACTAGATATCCTTGCATCAGAAGCTCTGTGACCTTCTGAAGAAACTGAGGCAGTGAATGACGAATCTGGAAATCTTTCTTTGTCTTCTAACAGAAGATTGTTGCAAATATGACCTGAAATAAAGAATGTTAGTCCAAATTTGTTCACGTAACCTGCACCAGCATATCCAGAATATACTTACATTTGATGTAAGAGAGTTGTGAACAGCTTTTTTGAGAAGTTGTAACTGAACATTGAGACAAGTGATGCTCTTTGCCATCACAGTCAATGCTTCCAGAAAATACTTCTTTCGTACTAGACATAGCAATCTTATTAACAACAGAGGATGTTCGTGTATAACCCAGTTGATGACAAATAACATCCTTGGCGTTGTTCTTTAAACTCTGCCAGCAAACTGTCTTGGTTCCATTATATTTCACATCTATTTGTAAAAAACCCTCGTTTGGTAGAGATGAGTCAGACAGATGCACGTTATCCACTAAAAAAACAACGATAGTAAATGTTTACGTATGTTAAAAAGAATTTTCTCGGGTATTTCTGAGCTACCAATAAATGAAAAATCTGATTTTCTTGAGCGTAAGCAAGTACCAATTTAATAAATTTGCTATTCCGCAATTCTCACATCATATCGAGGACAAAAGCTACATATTATCTTCATATTCACGATGGTTGAGGACCTATGGTGAATTCATTTGGGCCAATAACAAATAGCCTTAGTTATATCTTTTGTGTAAATCAGAAACAATTATATCACTTAATCGCATGCACTGACATTTAATTTAAATAGCTAGAAAATATCCCACGCAGTCGCAGGTTTGTAGGTGAGCTTTTGAGGTTTTGGGGTTTTGGGAGTTTAAAGTTTGAGGGTTGCCCCAGTTAGTATTATTTTGTGCTATTGCACTTCGCACGAGAAACATGCATTAAAAAATACTCAGCACTCCAACGCAACTTCAATCCAAATCAAACATACCACATAATGAGTATTGTTTTGATGTATCAATACATTGATATTCAAAGTAAAGATATTTTTTCAATCCAGGACACAGATCATCAGAGAACAAGGTTTCATTCACAGTTATTTTACACTCATGTTGACCATCACATTGTTTCTTAACAAGACATGTTACATCAACTGTACAACTATAATCATCACTCAAACCACATGTCTTTAAGTCAGACAATCCACGGTAAGATGCAGTCTTGACCACCATGAACTGATCTTTAGAACAGGCGACATTCTCTGTCGTTTTTCCATAACATGCCACTGAACCTTGATAAGGATAACACGAAATGTTAATCGCGATCGAAACTTAAAAAGATGAAGTGAGTTTGTTTACTTGGTTTGAGAATATAGAATTACTTTCTGAGCACTTCTTCTCTTTACTGTTGAATACATTTCTAAGACAACCCCTATATCAGGCAGAAAGATCGTACCGGCAGAAAAGAAACTTACCAAAAATAAAACGTTTATTCTCCCCGTCTCACAGCTTGTGGTCGTTTTTATGTATCCATCAGGGTCTGCACACCTGGTTGCAGATTTCAAAAATCCACGTAAACCTCCCCAAGAGGTTTGTTTTATAACCCGGTGGTCAGCACAGGCAGATGATTCTATAGCTCCTGGGGTGGCAGGAACGTAGACGTAAAACATTTCAGAAAACTGTGCTTTCTATAGATAGCGAGACATCCTTGTCTTTTCAAATTAAACATGGCGCCATTATCACGAAACCGAAACTGAGCAGCTGGATCCAGACAGTTGTTGGAGAGTTCAAGAAAAGATAGGCTGCCCCAGAGCGAGCCTTCTGACTGTATTCGTGCTGTGTCATTGATACACTTTCCTGTTTTGATATGTTTACAAAGAAACCAGCAACACCTGAAGAATTTAAGATTCACGAGAATTATTGATTTTCTTGCGATGTTATTACCAAATATTAGAGAGTTTAAAAATCAAGTTTTACGTCAACCGGCAAACAGGAGGCAAATGTAATAAAAAAGAAAATGGACTCGGCACAGACTCGGTATTTTAAAACTTCAGGCAAACTCTTGATAGACGAGGATTTTTCATAGTTACCTCGTAGGATTCATAGGGACATATTTTTATAACCTAACTCAGTTGTATCCAGCGATAAAAAAGTTGATTCATCACATAAAAAAATAATTATAATGTATGTATTCATTGCCATCGTTTGATGTAGTTTTAAAACGAGAATGGGAGTTGATGGAAGTTAATGCAAGTCACAAGACATGTTTAACTCCGCCTGTCCGCCGTCAAAAACGTCAGTAATCGTCAGTACTCTTCAACTTTGGACTTTCGCAATTTTGGTAGCTAGTGAGCGGTCTAACGCAAGTGAGACTTGCAACTCACATCAACTCGCATTAATCATGAGACAGTGAACAAATCATTGTGAATTAGACAGAATTTCAAAGCATGGTGTAATATTTTAATAGCTAGCCTACTTACTGTGAAGATACAGAAGAATGACAATAAACGCTGATAATTTCCACTCGTAGTACTTGGAAAACATATTTTCTTTTTTAAAAGTCGATTTATCGACAAAGATTTCCGCAGTAAAGATGTAAGTTTAAACGAAGCCGGAAGACGAACTAAATCGTTGATGTTGCGAAGATAAATATTCATAAAACTCAGTGTGAAGTCTGAATGTTGCTTTCATGATCCCAAACAAACAAAACATCTGACATTCTTTAACAGTTTTAGCAAATTGCGTTTTGTTCTTGTTCAATTACTGTGTTATAATGGCATCAATCATAATCATCATCTTTCTCAAAAGCTATGTAAAATTGTAAATGACATGGTCATGTTATATTAAGAGAAATGATCCTCTCTAGACCTAATTTGTTTTCGATGAGTCTATTTTAAAAATTAAATAAGCAACAGTTATTTATGGTCTGTGGCCTTATTTATTTGTTTTCCGGTATGCGTAGTTTAGCACTGTCTATATGATTTATTCTCCATGTTATATCTTTCGCCATTTCTTGCTTATATGTCGTATGTCATTTGGTTATATAGGTCTTAGCATTTCTCAATGACTTTCATCAATTTATAATTATTCAAGCCTCGAAATCTTGTTGTGTAATGTATTAAATGCTCACTGATCATATGTATTTAATATTCATAATTGCCTGTTGGCACTTTCCATCAACCAATGGTGATAAAACGATAAGGTCAAAATATGAGCTTAAACCAACAGGTGGTCTTAACTAGATTATAGATAACACCTGGACGTCCTCATTTCATATTGATGAATTTTATTGTAAAGTTTATTGTAAAATGTTCCGTGCAAAAGCCTGTTTATAAAGTTTCGTATTCTTGCGGCTTTGATTCAGATGACTATAAACATGATCATCTTCGTCCTTTCCAGGTCTTTTAAGAGCTGTATACGTCGACTGTTCATTCTCCACTTGTTCATAATTGTCAACGTCATCTTTGTTAGGATTTTCATAAATATCTTTGGAACAGTCTTTGGTCTTCCTCTCCAAATTTCCCGTAGTGCTTGACGATTTGAGACGATGAACTCGTTGAAACAAATAAGCGATAATAATGAGTAAAATGACCAGAATAATTATTAATACTATAATTCCCACAAGATGATTATCGCGACCTTCGCCCTCTCCTTGAGCTCCTGAAAGGAAGAGGAAAAATTAGAAAGATGCAACCCAGAATACAACAAAATTTACACTCCGTTTAGGACTCATTTCAAGACCCTGAAATCCTCTGTTGTAGAACTGTAACCGATGCAAAAAGCTCTGGAAACTACACAAGTTATTTTCTCTCCCTAATTTAGTTTGTAAATTACCTGTAAGTTTCACAACTGAAATTGTATGAGCAGTTTTTCTAAATCGATCTTGAATATTGCAAATATGTTTTCCAAAACTTTTTTCGTCTTTTATTGTTACAACCAGAACAGAACTGCGATAAGGGGTATTCTTTTCTATAAAACTCTCCAGAGCCTTTCCATCTTTTTCCCAACTGAAACTGATCGGTGCTTCACCTTGAGCAGAACACAACAAGTTGACAAGATCACCTTCCTTTGCTATTACGTCACCACTGGACATGTTGGTTAACACACGAGGGGCACCACCTGACGAAAAGAAACACAGTTATACATTCCAAGTTAACTAATGAGCAGGTTGGGGGCATGTAGAATTAAATCTATAATAAACGTAAACATACCATGTTTTTTGCTCAAAAAAGGTGTTGTAATTTATATGCAATACCTGAGTTTATGCTAAGGGTTGTCGATGAAGGACTCCAATCAGTGGAGTAAAATTCACCCTTAAACGAAATATTTAGGACAGACAGATATAGAGTGGACGAAAAATAGGTTTACGGATATTAGGATATTAGATATAAGGGTATGAGGATATAAGATATTGAGATATGTTAGTGAAAATGCATAAGGATCACTTAGTGTTATTGAATATATTTGTCTATCCTAATGTATCACCATTATTAGCAATACCTTGTCATCAAGAAAGATCCTTTGAAAAATACTGTAACTTGCTCCAGACTCCAGTGGTCCATTATAATAATTATTGTTGTTGATCTTCGTCTTCGTGTTGTTTGAAAACTTGTATTTCCACCATCACCAAGTATAAACATGTTTTCATCTCTGGTTTTTATGACGGCAGCAATATAAGGTTTTGGTTCAGCTGACGTTTTAGCTTCTTTGTATGTCACTAGATCATTGTTATCGTAACTGCTGGGTGATGGAAGTTTGTCATTGCCTTCTATTCTTAAAGCCACAACGTAAAAATATCTAAAAATATTTTGTTTGTTAAGTAAAAAAAGTCTCCAGTCGGTCGTCCAAATAATTTCTTCCATGCAATTATGTAAAATATTGCTTTTAGGAACGCCAAATTTGAACTTACGTAAAATTTTCTGAAGGCATTTGTAACGAGAAAGTTAATGTAGTTTCTGTTCTGTTTGTGGCCAGCTTTGTTCCTTCTGTAAAATAAATAACATCAGTGATATGAATTTGAATGTCAGTATTTAGGTGTACAACGAATCTGTGAAATATAGGCCCTACCTCCATTTGTAAATATTCCTTGACTTTTACTGTAGTTTCCTCGACCAACTTTAGTACTTGCTAGAACACGAACAAAATATTTGGTTGAGGCATTCAAACTGTCGATGACCAACATCATCTTCGCTGTAGTATGTTCTTTAAAGAAGGTTTAGTTTCTTCATGTGAGATACACACAGTATAAATGACGATCACGCCATTTCTTTTCTCTTCTTCAGGAGGATTCCACGTGACTGATAATGAGGATGAACTTTCTGCAGTGACTGTGACGTTCAGTGGAGGACCTTCTGGAGCTGGAAATTTAGTAATAAGTTGTTTGTTTGGGTTTGTTTTAGAAAGTGTTTGTATTATATGATCACCCGCCTCAATTACCGATGAAGCCGATGCCTCGAAACCACGTTAATTAAGAGATTATACATCATTCTTACCATCCTCTCGTGTTGAAAACATAATAGTTCTCGCAATTTCACTAAAACCATCCTTGTTTCCAGCAGCTACAGATATTTCATAACTTGTGTATGGAGTGAGCTTATCTATTTTATATTCATTTATTTTTCCCGTGGTTGTATTTAGAATAAGTGAGTCGTTTTTCTTCATTTTAATCCAAAATCTTGATACGCTGGTAAATCCTTGATTCTCAGGATCAATCCACGATATTTCAGCACTTCGTGACTTGATGTTAAAGGCCGTGATGTCTCTTGGTTGGTCTGGATATAAAGCTGTTAAGAATAAGAAAAAATGATATAAATGTCCTCTCTAAATTATTATTGCCAACTCTTTATTAAAGCCTTGATGGAATATAAAGTAATGTATAACTTACTGTCACCACAAATCTCAACTCTCATACAAGGTTGAACTTCATTTGATAATGGAATAAACCGTAAAGCTCTTGTTGTTATGACATTTAAACTTCTTATGGCTACGTCATTAGCATTCTTGTTGCCTTGAAATATCTATTAAAATGTGTAAAATTAAGTAAATATCTCTTTTATTGAGTTGATTATACCGTTCTTGAAATATTTAAAGCTAATGATAATAACGTACACAGTCTAAAGAATGTTTTGCTTATTTGCTATGAGAGATTTTAAAACAAAAAATATGTCCATATCAACTACGATTTTTAGAGGCTTTTGTATTCCAAAGTAGCTAGTCTAGTGAAAACATCAAACTAGAACAAAAAAATTACCGTCCTATTTTGCACTCGTCTCCAGTTTACCAGGTCAACAGTGTAATTAAGGTTAAATGATGTCACCCATTTAGAGCCAGTGGCTGTGCTATCGCCAAATGTCGCTATAGCATATAACACGTAAAGTCTTCCCAGGTCCACTTGAAGATAATGTTTATCATCTGAGATAGAAGCACACCAAGAACTACCACTAGATGTTCTTGCATTAGAAGCTCTGTGACCTTCTGAAGAGGCAGTGAATGACGAATCTGGAAATCTTTCTTTGTCTTCTAACAAAGGATTGTCGCAAATATAACCTGAAATAACGAATGTTAATCCATACTTGTTCACGTAACCTGCACCAGTATATCCAGAATATACTTACATTTGATGTAAGAAAGCTGTGAACAAATTTGTTGAGAAGTTGTAAGTGAACATTGAGACAAGTGATTCTCTTCGCCATCACAGTCAATGCTTCCAGAAAATACTTCTTTCTTGCTAGACATAGCAGTCTTATTAACAACAGAGGTTGCTCGTGTATAACCCAGTTGACGACAAACAACATCCTTAGCGTTGTTCTTCAAACTCTGCCAACAAACAGTGTTGGTTCCAGTATAATTCACATCTATTTGTATAAAACCCTCGTTTGGTAGAGATGAGTCGGACAGATGCACGTTATCCACTACAAAAACAACAATAGTAAATGTTTACGTATTTTAAAAATAATTCTTCTCGCGTATTTCTAAGCTACCAATAAATAAACATCTGATTTTCTTGAGCGTAAATAAGTACCAACTTAATAAATTTGCTATTCCGCAATTCTTACGTCATATCGAGGACAAAAGCTACATATTATCTTTATATTCACAATGGTCGAGGACCTATGGTGAATTCATTTGGGCCAATAACCAATAGCGCTCAGTTGTATCTTTTGTGTAAATAAGGAACAATTTTATCGCTTAATCGCATGAATTGATATTTAATTCAAATAGCTATAAAATATCCCACGCAGACGCAGGTTTCTAGGTGAGGTTTTTGGGGGCTAGGGGGTTTAACGTTTGAGGGTGGTCCCAGTTAGTATTATTTGCGCTCTTGCACTTCACAGGAGAAACATGCATTAAATACTCAGCGCTCCAATGCAACTTCAATCCAAATCAAACATACCACATAATGAATATTGTTTTGATGTATCAATACATTGATATTCAAAGTAAAGATATTTTTTCAATCCAGGACACAGATCATCAGAGAACAAGGTTTTATCCACAGTTATTTTACACTCATGTTGACCATCACATTGTTTCTTAACAAGACATGTTACATCAACTGTACAACTATAATCATCACTCAAACCACATGTCTTTGAGTCAGACAATCCACGGTAAGATGCAGTCTTAACCACCATGAACTGATCTTTAGGACAAGTTACATTCTCTGTCGTTTTTCCATAACATGTCACTGAACCTTGAAAATAAAAATTGATGCAGGGACTGTGTGTGGTCTTCCAAATTTGAAATCCGCTTCTTATTATCTCTAACAACTACTGCCGCCACGAAAGATCGTTAAGGGTGGTGGCATATATTTATTTATTATGTGTATAGAGATTTGTGCACAGCAGAATGATGAAAAAATTATTTCAAATTGTATTTTAATTTGTATGGCGTCAAAATATAGGATATTACATTCAGCACAATATAAAGTCTTTCGGAAAGAATATTTAACTTCTACTGAACAAGATTACAAAGTAACTGAACGGTAATAGATATATTTTAATGCATAAAATTTCGATTTTTGTTGCTCGCTGTGTTTTTGTATATTTGAAAGCGTGTCGTTGGGAAATTGATCCATCTTTATACACATTTAATAAGCAGATTGCTTCATGGTTGGCTCGTTTGTCACGATTTTTATTATCCACTCGATGTGAAATATCGCAAACTCCCTCGTTGGCTACGCTCACTTGTTCGTGTTGAAATCCTTCACAACTCGTGCATAAAAATTGCACACACTCGCCAACTACGAAGTAATCTCTGTATTTATTCGTCCTTCAGCATTATTACTTATAGTATATTTTGAAATTGATTGTTTTTACGGTCTGCCAAAGCCTGGTTTCCATATGACGCCGACGTCGGAAAGTATCATTATCCGTGATTATTGAAGAGTGAAATATTTTGTCTTTCTGAAATAATTTTCTCCTTGGATGATTACAGACAATGAGTCGGCGACAGGTCGGCGTCATATGGAAACCCTGCAGGCTTAACATGAATGATTTGACCACACCTCCCCCCCCCCCCCACTTAACAATCTTCCGCGGCCCTTGACTACTATCGAAATTAAATCCGTCTCAGACAATTGCAACGCTGGCAGGCTGTACGAAAAGATCGTACAGAAACTTACCAAAAATTAAGCGTTTATTCTCCCCGTCTACACAGCTTACGTTTGTTTTTATGTATCCATCAGGGTCAGCACACCTTCTTGCAGAATCATCGTTAAGTCCAGATAAACCCCCCCAAGAGGTTTGTTTTATAACCCGTTTGTCAGCACAGGCAGATTTTTCTATAGTTTTTGGGGTAGCAGGAACGTAAAGGTAAAACATTTCATCAAAACCTCTCTTATCAAATATAGCAAGACATCCTTGTCTTTTCAAATTCAACATGGCGCCATTATCACGAAAACGAAACTGAGCAGCTGGATCCAGACAGTTGTTGGAGAGTTCAAGAAAAGACATGTTACCCCAGCTCGAGCCTTGTGACTGTATTCGTGCTGTGTCATTGATACACTTTCCTGTCTTGATATGTTTCACAAAGAAACCAATAGAACCTGAAAAAACATAAAAATGCAAACGTAGACGACAATAAAACCTTTCGATTCACGTTACGAATACATTTTAGACTTGGAAATCGTTTGCTCTCAGCACAAAATAGAAGAGGAGATTAACTTTCATGATAGCGACGCTCACAGACGTTATTATGGCGTAATTATGACGTATTATCCTGTATTCCACTGGTGCACAAATTTATGCATGCTCTCTATTGGTTAAAATTAAATTTATAAACAGAAATAGGAGGCACACAGAGAAATAATGTGGAACTATGTTGACAATCTTTTTCAGTGAAAGCCATATTCGGCAAGCAAGGTATTTCAAATCTGTAGTAAAAAAACCTGGTCATGGTGTATATTGTAGAAGCTATATCAAAATTTTGCATTTAAAAAATGCACATGCATGCACAGGAATATGCATTTAAAAAACTATGTTTTAAAAATAATCTAAAATACGTAATCTTAATTGGCGCATTTTGAAAAAGTATAAAATATTAGGCCGTTGATTAAGCACAGTTTATTTATTAAATAGGAAATTGCAACGAGAAAATTGCATTCCATTTACTTGATATAAACGCAAACATTCATCACAAACCGTTACCGTTCACTCAAACTTAACTAGATGCACATGAGTTGCGTACTTTACGTTTTAGTTTAGATTGCTTTACTTCATTTAGATTGCAATTTAAACACATGCAGCGTATGACGGAATGGTTTTGTGTAAGCAAATGTAAGATAGCGAGGATATACAAGGAGCCCAACCATAGCACGTCAATCCGCGTCAAGCTGGAATCATTAACACAATGTATTAGCACTTGAAGTATTTCAGTCTTGTTTCAAGAACATACTGTAGTTGTTCACTAGTATTGTAGATACGTTGCTTCCTTGTTTGGTGATATAATAATACATGGCTGACTGCAATGCATACTTCATCACTGAGTGATAACGAGGCTAATTATATCGATCAACGTACATTAGTACTTCAAACTTACCCTGAAGAAAAAGGAGAATGAAAATGAAAACTGCTAAATTCTGTTGAAGACGCTTGAAATACATCTTTTCAATCCAGCAGATCTAAAACGACTCTGTGAAATGCAAAGGCGGAAGATGAAACTGAATCATTGTAGCGAAGATAAATATTCAGAGAAACTCAGTGTGAAGTCGGAATGTTTACTGTTTAATAACGTACTAGAAATCAAACAATCATACTCGTAGAAAAAATAAGTAAATTTGCTTTCTCCTTTCTCGCCAAATTAGCCTTTATCGTCGTTCGTACATGTGTTCACTCTGGTAAAGAAAATGGCTGGCCCATGCAAACCCAAATATGAATGCAACGTATTTGTTTAAGAGATTATATTATGCAAAAGACTTTACTGTAAACGCGTGTTTTTTATTTTACACGGCCGGTGCGTGAATACATATAATTACAATGAAATATTTGGCAGTAAATATAAAGTTAAAGATAATAATTATATATTAATACGTAACAAACACCTAAATTCCATTTTAATAGCGGTAACAATTATTACGAATAAGTCAGTGCAGTTTTTGAAGGAAACTGTGTGAAGAATTATCAACCCTCGTTTGGTAGAGATGAGTCTGACAGATCCACGTCATCCACTACAAAAAAAAACAATAGTAAATGGTCACATAATTTAAAAAGAATCCTTCTCGGGTATTTCTTAGCTACCAATATATCAACTTCAGATTTTTTTGAGCGTAAATAAGTACCAACTTAATGAATTTGCTATTCCGCAATTATCACGTTATATCCAGGACAAAAGCTACATATTATCTTCATATTCACGATGGTTGAGGACCTATGGTGATTTCATTTGAGCCAATAACAAATAGCCTTAGTTATATCTTTTAGTATAAATCAGAAACAATTATATCACTTAATCGAATGCACTGACATTGAATTTAAATAGCTAGAAAATATCCCACGCAGACGCAGGTTTCTACTAATGAGCTTTTGGGGTTTTGAAGTTTTGGGTTTTGGGAGTTTAAAGCTTGAGGGTTGCCCTAGTCAGTATTATTTTGCGCTATTGCACTTCGCACGAGAAACATGCATCAAATACTCAGCACTCCAACGCAACTTCAATCCAAATCAAACATACCACATAATGAATATTGTTTTGATGTATCAATACATTGATATTCAAAGTAAAGATATTTTTTCAATCCAGGACACAGATCATCAGAGAACAAGGTTTCATTCACAGTTATTTTACACTCATGTTGACCATCACATTGTTTCTTAACAAGACATGTTACATCAACTGTACAACTATAATCATCACTCAAACCACATGTCTTTAAGTCAGACAATCCACGGTAAGATGCAGTCTTGACCACCATGAACTGATCTTTAGAACAGGCGACATTCTCTGTCGTTTTTCCATAACATGCCACTGAACCTTGATAAGGATAACACGAAATGTTAATCGCGATCGAAACTTAAAAAGATGAAGTGAGTTTGTTTACTTGGTTTGAGAATATATAATTACTTTCTGAGCACTTCTTCTCTTTACTGTTGAATACATTTCTAAGACAACCCCTATATCAGGCAGAAAGATCGTACCGGCAGAAAAGAAACTTACCAAAAATAAAACGTTTATTCTCCCCGTCTTCACAGCTTGTGGTCGTTTTTATGTATCCATCAGGGTCTGCACACCTGGTTGCAGATTTCAAAAATCCACGTAAACCTCCCCAAGAGGTTTGTTTTATAACCCGGTGGTCAGCACAGGCAGATGATTCTATAGCTCCTGGGGTGGCAGGAACGTAGACGTAAAACATTTCAGGAAAACTGTGCTTTCTATAGATAGCGAGACATCCTTGTCTTTTCAAATTAAACATGGCGCCATTATCACGAAACCGAAACTGAGCAGCTGGATCCAGACAGTTGTTGGAGAGTTCAAGAAAAGATAGGCTGCCCCAGAGCGAGCCTTCTGACTGTATTCGTGCTGTGTCATTGATACACTTTCCTGTTTTGATATGTTTTACAAAGAAACCAGCAACACCTGAAGAATTTTAAGATTCACGAGAATTATTGATTTTCTTGCGATGTTATTACCAAATATTAGAGAGTTTAAAAATCAAGTTTTACGTCAACCGGCAAACAGGAGGCAAATGTAATAAAAAAGAAAATGGACTCGGCACAGACTCGGTATTTTAAAACTTCAGGCAAACTCTTGATAGACGAGGATTTTTCATAGTTACCTCGTAGGATTCATAGGGACATATTTTTATAACCTAACTCAGTTGTATCCAGCGATAAAAAAGTTGATTCATCACATAAAAAAATAATTATAATGTATGTATTCATTGCCATCGTTTGATGTAGTTTTAAAACGAGAATGGGAGTTGATGGAAGTTAATGCAAGTCACAAGACATGTTTAACTCCGCCTGTCCGCCGTCAAAAACGTCAGTAATCGTCAGTACTCTTCAACTTTGGACTTTCGCAATTTTGGTAGTGAGCGGTCTAACGCAAGTGAGACTTGCAACTCACATCAACTCGCATTAATCATGAGACAGTGAACAAATCATTGTGAATTAGACAGAATTTCAAAGCATGGTGTAATATTTTAATAGCTAGCCTACTTACTGTGAAGATACAGAAGAATGACAATAAACGCTGATAATTTCCACTCGTAGTACTTGGAAAACATATTTTCTTTTTTAAAAGTCGATTTATCGACAAAGATTTCCGCAGTAAAGATGTAAGTTTAAACGAAGCCGGTAGACGAACTAAATCGTTGATGTTGCGAAGATAAATATTCATAAAACTCAGTGTGAAGTCTGAATGTTGCTTTCATGATCCCAAACAAACAAAACATCTGACATTCTTTAACAGTTTTAGCAAATTGCGTTTTGTTCTTGTTCAATTACTGTATATAATGGCATCAATCATAAATCTATCATCTTTCTCAAAAGCTATGTAAAATTGTAAATGACATGGTCATGTTATATTAAGAGAAATGATCCTTTCTAGACCTAATTTGTTTTCGATGAGTCTATTTTAAAAATTAAATAAGCAACAGTTATTTATGGTCTGTGGCCTTATTTATTTGTTTTCCGGTATGCGTAGTTTAGCACTGTCTATATGATTTATTCTCCATGTTATATCTTTCGCCATTTCTTGCTTATATGTCGTATGTCATTTGGTTATATAGGTCTTAGCATTTCTCAATGACTTTCATCAATTTATAATTATTCAAGCCTCGAAATCTTGTTGTGTAATGTATTAAATGCTCACTGATCATATGTATTTAATATTCATAATTGCCTGTTGGCACTTTCCATCAACCAATGGTGATAAAACGATAAGGTCAAAATATGAGCTTAAACCAACAGGTGGTCTTAACTAGATTATAGATAACACCTGGACGTCCTCATTTCATATTGATGAATTTTATTGTAAAGTTTATTGTAAATGTTCCGTGCAAAAGCCTGTTTATAATCCAGTTTCCTTCTGGTTTTCGTATTCTTGCGGTCTTTGATTCAGATGACTATAAACATGATCATCTTCGTCCTTTCCAGGTCTTTTAAGAGCTGTATACGTCGACTGTTCATTCTCCACTTGTTCATAATTGTCAACGTCATCTTTGTTAGGATTTTCATAAATATCTTTGGAACAGTCTTTGGTCTTCCTCTCCAAATTTCCCGTAGTGCTTGACGATTTGAGACGATGAACTCGTTGAAACAAATAAGCGATAATAATGAGTAAAATGACCAGAATAATTATTAATACTATAATTCCCACAAGATGATTATCGCGACCTTCGCCCTCTCCTTGAGCTCCTGAAAGGAAGAGGAAAAATTAGAAAGATGCAACCCAGAATACAACAAAATTTACACTCCGTTTAGGACTCATTTCAAGACCCTGAAATCCTCTGTTGTAGAACTGTAACCGATGCAAAAAGCTCTGGAAACTACACAAGTTATTTTCTCTCCCTAATTTAGTTTGTAAATTACCTGTAAGTTTCACAACTGAAATTGTATGAGCAGTTTTTCTAAATCGATCTTGAATATTGCAAATATGTTTTCCAAAACTTTTTTCGTCTTTTATTGTTACAACCAGAACAGAACTGCGATAAGGGGTATTCTTTTCTATAAAACTCTCCAGAGCCTTTCCATCTTTTTCCCAACTGAAACTGATCGGTGCCCACCTTCCTTTGCCATTACGTCACCACTGGACATGTTGGTTAACACACGAGGGGCACCACCTGACGAAAAGAAACACAGTTATACATTCCAAGTTAACTAATGAGCAGGTTGGGGGCATGTAGAATTAAATCTATAATAAACGTAAACATACCATGTTTTTTCTGCTCAAAAAATAAGGTGTTGTAATTTATATGCAATACCTGAGTTTATGCTAAGGGTTGTCGATGAAGGACTCCAATCAGTGGAGTAAAATTCACCCTTAAACGAAATATTTAGGACAGACAGATATAGAGTGGACGAAAAATAGGTTTACGGATATTAGGATATTAGATATAAGGGTATGAGGATATAAGATATTGAGATATGTTAGTGAAAATGCATAAGGATCACTTAGTGTTATTGAATATATTTGTCTATCCTAATGTATCACCATTATTAGCAATACCTTGTCATCAAGAAAGATCCTTTGAAAAATACTGTAACTTGCTCCAGACTCCAGTGGTCCATTATAATAATTATTTGTTGTTGATCTTCGTCTTCGTGTTGTTTGAAAACTTGTATTTCCACCATCACCAAGTATAAACATGTTTTCATCTCTGGTTTTTATGACGGCAGCAATATAAGGTTTTGGTTCAGCTGACGTTTTAGCTTCTTTGTATGTCACTAGATCATTGTTATCGTAACTGCTGGGTGATGGAAGTTTGTCATTGCCTTCTATTCTTAAAGCCACAACGTAAAAATATCTAAAAATATTTTGTTTGTTAAGTAAAAACAAAGTCTCCAGTCGGTCGTCCAAATAATTTCTTCCATGCAATTATGTAAAATATTGCTTTTAGGAACGCCAAATTTGAACTTACGTAAAATTTTCTGAAGGCATTTGTAACGAGAAAGTTAATGTAGTTTCTGTTCTGTTTGTGGCCAGCTTTGTTCCTTCTGTAAAATAAATAACATCAGTGATATGAATTTGAATGTCAGTATTTAGGTGTACAACGAATCTGTGAAATATAGGCCCTACCTCCATTTGTAAATATTCCTTGACTTTTACTGTAGTTTCCTCGACCAACTTTAGTACTTGCTAGAACACGAACAAAATATTTGGTTGAGGCATTCAAACTGTCGATGACCAACATCATCTTCGCTGTAGTATGTTCTTTAAAGCAAGGTTTAGTTTCTTCATGTGAGATACACACAGTATAAATGACGATCACGCCATTTCTTTTCTCTTCTTCAGGAGGATTCCACGTGACTGATAATGAGGATGAACTTTCTGCAGTGACTGTGACGTTCAGTGGAGGACCTTCTGGAGCTGGAAATTTAGTAATAAGTTGTTTGTTTGGGTTTGTTTTAGAAAGTGTTTGTATTATATGATCACCCGCCTCAATTACCGATGAAGCCGATGCCTCGAAACCACGTTAATTAAGAGATTATACATCATTCTTACCATCCTCTCGTGTTGAAAACATAATAGTTCTCGCAATTTCACTAAAACCATCCTTGTTTCCAGCAGCTACAGATATTTCATAACTTGTGTATGGAGTGAGCTTATCTATTTTATATTCATTTATTTTTCCCGTGGTTGTATTTAGAATAAGTGAGTCGTTTTTTCTTCATTTTAATCCAAAATCTTGATACGCTGGTAAATCCTTGATTCTCAGGATCAATCCACGATATTTCAGCACTTCGTGACTTGATGTTAAAGGCCGTGATGTCTCTTGGTTGGTCTGGATATAAAGCTGTTAAGAATAAGAATAAAATGATATAAATGTCCTCTCTAAATTATTATTGCCAACTCTTTATTAAAGCCTTGATGGAATATAAAGTAATGTATAACTTACTGTCACCACAAATCTCAACTCTCATACAAGGTTGAACTTCATTTGATAATGGAATAAACCGTAAAGCTCTTGTTGTTATGACATTTAAACTTCTTATGGCTACGTCATTAGCATTCTTGTTGCCTTGAAATATCTATTAAAATGTGTAAAATTAAGTAAATATCTCTTTTATTGAGTTGATTATACCGTTCTTGAAATATTTAAAGCTAATGATAATAACGTACACAGTCTAAAGAATGTTTTGCTTATTTGCTATGAGAGATTTTAAAACAAAAAATATGTCCATATCAACTACGATTTTTAGAGGCTTTTGTATTCCAAAGTAGCTAGTCTAGTGAAAACATCAAACTAGAACAAAAAAATTACCGTCCTATTTTGCACTCGTCTCCAGTTTACCAGGTCAACAGTGTAATTAAGGTTAAATGATATCAACCATTTAGAGCCAGTGGCTGTGCTATCGCCAAATGTCGCTATAGCATATAACACGTAAAGTCTTCCCAGGTCCACTTGAAGATAATGTTTATCATCTGAGATAGAAGCACACCAAGAACTACCACTAGATGTTCTTGCATTAGAAGCTCTGTGACCTTCTGAAGAGGCAGTGAATGACGAATCTGGAAATCTTTCTTTGTCTTCTAACAAAGGATTGTCGCAAATATAACCTGAAATAACGAATGTTAATCCATACTTGTTCACGTAACCTGCACCAGTATATCCAGAATATACTTACATTTGATGTAAGAAAGCTGTGAACAAATTTGTTGAGAAGTTGTAAGTGAACATTGAGACAAGTGATTCTCTTCGCCATCACAGTCAATGCTTCCAGAAAATACTTCTTTCTTGCTAGACATAGCAGTCTTATTAACAACAGAGGTTGCTCGTGTATAACCCAGTTGACGACAAACAACATCCTTAGCGTTGTTCTTCAAACTCTGCCAACAAACAGTGTTGGTTCCAGTATAATTCACATCTATTTGTATAAAACCCTCGTTTGGTAGAGATGAGTCGAGACAGATGCACGTTATCCACTACAAAAACAACAATAGTAAATGTTTACGTATTTTAAAAATAATTCTTCTCGCGTATTTCTAAGCTACCAATAAATAAACATCTGATTTTCTTGAGCGTAAATAAGTACCAACTTAATAAATTTGCTATTCCGCAATTCTTACGTCATATCGAGGACAAAAGCTACATATTATCTTTATATTCACAATGGTCGAGGACCTATGGTGAATTCATTTGGGCCAATAACCAATAGCGCTCAGTTGTATCTTTTGTGTAAATAAGGAACAATTTTATCGCTTAATCGCATGAATTGATATTTAATTTAAATAGCTATAAAATATCCCACGCAGACGCAGGTTTCTAGGTGAGGTTTTTTGGGGGCTAGGGGGTTTAACGTTTGAGGGTGGTCCCAGTTAGTATTATTTGCGCTCTTGCACTTCACAGGAGAAACATGCATTAAATACTCAGCGCTCCAATGCAACTTCAATCCAAATCAAACATACCACATAATGAATATTGTTTTGATGTATCAATACATTGATATTCAAAGTAAAGATATTTTTTCAATCCAGGACACAGATCATCAGAGAACAAGGTTTATCCACAGTTATTTACACTCATGTTGACCATCACATTGTTTCTTAACAAGACATGTTACATCAACTGTACAACTATAATCATCACTCAAACCACATGTCTTTGAGTCAGACAATCCACGGTAAGATGCAGTCTTAACCACCATGAACTGATCTTTAGGACAAGTTACATTCTCTGTCGTTTTTCCATAAACATGTCACTGAACCTTGAAAATAAAAATTGATGCAGGGACTGTGTGTGGTCTTCCAAATTTGAAATCCGCTTCTTATTATCTCTAACAACTACTGCCGCCACGAAAGATCGTTAAGGGTGGTGGCATATATTTATTTATTATGTGTATAGAGATTTGTGCACAGCAGAATGATGAAAAAATTATTTCAAATTGTATTTTATTTTGTATGGCGTCAAAATATAGGATATTACATTCAGCACAATATAAAGTCTTTCGGAAAGAATATTTAACTTCTACTGAACAAGATTACAAAGTAACTGAACGGTAATAGATATATTTTAATGCATAAAATTTCGATTTTTGTTGCTCGCTGTGTTTTTGTATATTTGAAAGCGTGTCGTTGTGAAATTGATCCATCTTTATACACATTTAATAAGCAGATTGCTTCATGGTTGGCTCGTTTGTCACGATTTTTATTATCCACTCGATGTGAAATATCGCAAACTCCCTCGTTGGCTACGCTCACTTGTTCGTGTTGAAATCCTTCACAACTCGTGCATAAAAATTGCACACACTCGCCAACTACGAAGTAATCTCTGTATTTATTCGTCCTTCAGCATTATTACTTATTAGTATATTTTGAAATTGATTGTTTTTACGGTCTGCCAAAGCCTGGTTTCCATATGACGCCGACGTCGGAAAGTATCATTATCCGTGATTATTGAAGAGTGAAATATTTTGTCTTTCTGAAATAATTTTCTCCTTGGATGATTACAGACAATGAGTCGGCGACAGGTCGGCGTCATATGGAAACCCTGCAGGTTTAACATGAATGATTTGACCACACCCCCCCCCCCCACTTAACAATCTTCCGCGGCCCTTGACTACTATCGAAATTAAATCCGTCTCAGACAATTGCAACGCTGGCAGGCTGTACGAAAAGATCGTACAGAAACTTACCAAAAATTAAGCGTTTATTCTCCCCGTCTACACAGCTTACGTTTGTTTTTATGTATCCATCAGGGTCAGCACACCTTCTTGCAGAATCATCGTTAAGTCCAGATAAACCCCCCCAAGAGGTTTGTTTTATAACCCGTTTGTCAGCACAGGCAGATTTTTCTATAGTTTTTGGGTAGCAGGAACGTAAAGGTAAAACATTTCATCAAACCTCTCTTATCAAATATAGCAAGACATCCTTGTCTTTTCAAATTCAACATGGCGCCATTATCACGAAACCGAAACTGAGCAGCTGGATCCAGACAGTTGTTGGAGAGTTCAAGAAAAGACATGTTACCCCAGCTCGAGCCTTGTGACTGTATTCGTGCTGTGTCATTGATACACTTTCCTGTCTTGATATGTTTCACAAAGAAACCAATAGAACCTGAAAAAACATAAAAATGCAAACGTAGACGACAATAAAACCTTTCGATTCACGTTACGAATACATTTTAGACTTGGAAATCGTTTGCTCTCAGCACAAAATAGAGGAGGAGATTAACTTTCATGATAGCGACGCTCACAGACGTTATTATGGCGTAATTATGACGTATTATCGTGTATTCCACTGGTGCACAAATTTATGCATGCTCTCTATTGGTTAAAATCAAATTTATAAACAGAAATAGGAGGCACACAGAGAAATAATGTGGAACTATGTTGACAATCTTTTTCAGTGAAAGCCATATTCGGCAAGCAAGGTATTTCAAATCTGTAGTAAAAAAACCTGGTCATGGTGTATATTGTAGAAGCTATATCAAAATTTTGCATTTAAAAATGCACATGCATGCACAGGAATATGCATTTAAAAAACTATGTTTTAAAATAATCTAAAATACGTAATCTTAATTGGCGCATTTTGAAAAAGTATAAAATATTAGGCCGTTGATTAAGCACAGTTTATTTATTAAATAGGAAATTGCAACGAGAAAATTGCATTCCATTTACTTGATATAAACGCAAACATTCATCACAAACCGTTACCGTTCACTCAAACTTAACTAGATGCACATGAGTTGCGTACTTTACGTTTTAGTTTAGATTGCTTTACTTCATTTAGATTGCAATTTAAACACATGCAGCGTATGACGGAATGGTTTTGGTAAGCAAATGTAAGATAGCGAGGATATACAAG